AATACTGTCAAGGACAGTTCTTTCTTGCCAGCTGAGACACGTCGAGGGGGGAACCAAACTCTTCTGCTTTGAGCGGTGTAGGAAGGCTTGGGCTGGTGAGGACCATTGGCCTCAGCCCTTTCGGGGGGGTTGTGGCAGGTAGCACAGAGCCCTGGCCACCCATCCTGTCCCATCACCTCAGAGACTGCAGGAGCTCCCTGGAAGAGCAGCCGAAGGATCTGCACCAGCTCCCAGACAAGCTCATGCTCATATAATTTTCTGAGTACCCCAGGCAGCTGTGTATCTTAATTAAGATATTTATCTTCATTAAATAGAACCGGACACATCTGCACATCCAGAGATGTGAGTTACTCACGCTGTCGGTGCTGGGGTGGAATCAGGAGCTGTCAGAGGGTGTCTGGCCTTTGGATGCTGTCAGGAAGGTGTTATTAGATTTAAAGGTCTGGGATAAGCTTTGCTCCAGAGCTGGAGCTCTGTTTCTAAGACACAAACCTCCAATAATTTTGCAGCATCGAGGACTGCAAGCTCAAGTCTCTGGAATATTCCTGGGGAGGGAAGAGGCATCTCTGTGGCACAGAGCAATGCTGGTTTACCTGCAGTGCTTACACTGATCTCAGTGCATGAGATATATTTAAAATCCAGAAAACTACACTTTTACCTCATGAAACACTTAAACCAAAAGACTTCAACAGCTGCTGCCCTCCACCCCACCAGTAAGGGAAGTGATTCCAAAGCCCAGCAGGAATGTGGTGCTGTTTTCCAGCTGAGCTGTGATCATAGAAAGGTTTCCAACAGCACACGGCTCTGCAGTATTTGCAGAAGATGGATAATGCTGCAGTCCCCAAGGCCTGCTAAAGTCTGGTTTCCAATGTTTCTGTAGTGAGGCTGTAGGTGTATATTAAGGGGAAATAAAAATGTTATCAGAAGTTGGGGAAATACTCTTATTTTTCCCTCTGTGCCTGCAGCCAGCTTAGGCACAGGAGACAGCACAAGCTCCCTGATGGAGCAGGCACACAGGCCTGTCTGCTCCACGTCCCACAGGGAGCCCAGCAGTGGGCAGGGAGGGTGGGAGCAGCTGGGGGCTCCACCAGTGGCACTGGGAGAACCCCTCCAGCAGATGGGCTCCCCACAAATCAGCAGTGATGAGCCAAGGGAAGGGCTGTGCTCCAGGGAGATGGGGACATTGTTCTGGCTCTTGCTGGAACAGGGAGAGAGACGTACAAAGGAAAAGATTAAAATTAAACCAGAACCAGAATGCACCAAAAGCCGGCAGGACCTGACTGGCTGGTGCCAGCCCCCTCCCCAGAGCTACCACCCGCAGGGCTGGGGGGACCTGACTTAAAAAACACTTCACCAGTTTCAAGAATCAGTCTGGTCTGGCAAGTCCCTTCTCCTCTCCACAAGAAATGAAACATATGCTCATAGAGAAAGACTCCAAACACATGGGTATCCACGCAGCAAAACATCTGCCACGTGGCTGGGGCTGTGGCCTCTGCCACTGCTCTGCCCTGGGGGGCTGAACTGTTGGGCAGCCCCAGACACCAAGGGCAGAGGGGATCAGGGAGGAAAAAGGGCACTAAGTGGCCCAACATGGGCACAGTCCAGTCACAAGTGATGAGGGTGCAATTAATATACACCCATAGCAATTAATACACCCCCTCAGCAACCAAGCCAATGCAACAGAGCATCTCTCAAATGTCCACACGACAAGGGAAGCTCCAGGCAGGTCAGAGCTGCTGCCCAAAGGGCCCCACAGCCACATCTGAGCTGAAACAGCAGCAGGGGCTGTAAAATCCCTCCAAACTGGGATACCCAGGTTAAGTCACCACCCTTGGGTGCCCCCAGACCATCCCACAGGGCCCTGGCTCTCACTGGGAGGGGATGCTCCTCTCTCCACCCTGAGCTCGATGGGGGCTCCCCAGGGTGGCCATGGCTTTGTGCAGATGCCCTGGAGAGAACCGTTCCCGAGGCACTGTGGGACAGGCTGCAGGAGAGATGGGGTGGCCATGCACAGGCTGTGCCACGAGCTCACTGCAGGCTCTGGGCACCCACAGCACAGTGTTCTGGTTTAGTTTTAAACATGGATGGAAAATCTTTACCTCATTTCCTAAAAGCACTTTAATGTCTTTTCACAGGAAAAAAAAAATACTAAAATGTATTAGTAATTTGGAATATTTAATTCAGTCAGCAGGACTGAGAGCTCTTGCTGCACTTCAAGTCCAGGTTCAAAGCATTAATCACTAAATTCTGCATCATTTCCTTCACATTTCATTTCTATCTCATTTTTTCATTCATTATCTGCGAGTGTGACAAGTGCCAGAGTGCCCTTAGGTGCCCCTTGGAGCACATACAGTGCTCTTGGATCCATCCAAGTATTCAATTGCTGGACCCACCAAATCAAAGACAAATCACCCTCAGAGCATTCCTTGGCAGTCAGTTACCACAGGGATGAGTGGAGGAGGCTGAGGGTTCATTTCAGCACCTTAGGAGGGTCCAGAGTTTACTGAGGTCCTTGTGAGGCGGAGGCAGAGCCGGGCACCGCCGTGACCACATCTCTGCTGATCCCTGTAGCTGCTCCTGCCCCATCCGTCCAGGAGCACTCCCAGAGTCAAAAGCAAGTGCTGTGCCTCTTCACCAGAGGAGAGCAGGGCTGGCCTGGAACATACCTGGAACACACCGAGAGCACGAGTGCAGAGGGAATCCAACACACGTGTCACTGAGCAGCAGCGTGGAAACCGAATTTAAATGCAAATGCTGCATTCGGCCCGTGGGAATTAATGAATGCACTCAGTGCGTTATTTATGCCTAGAGTTAATGATTACTGCGCGGAGCGGGGCGGGGGGAGCGGCCGCGACGATCGCGGGGGGGTCGGTCCGCGATAGGGGAGGGTCGGTCCCGGGGGGGTCGGTCCCATCCCAGGGGGTCGGTCCCATCCCAGATGGGTTGTCCCATCCCAGGAGGGTCGGTCCCATCCCAGGGGTTGTCCCATCCCAGCGGGGTCGGTCCCATCCCAGCGGGGTCGGTCCCATCCCAGCGGGGTCGGTCCCATCCCAGCGGGGTCGGTCCCGTCCCGGGTGGGTTGTCCCATCCCTGCGGGGTCGGTCCCATCCCAGAGGGGTCGGTCCCGGGACAGGGGAGGGTCGGTGCCCATCCCAGCGGGGTCGGTCCCATCCCAGCGGGGTCGGTCCCATCCCAGCGGGGTCGGTCCCGTCCCAGCGGGGTCGGTCCCGTCCCAGCGGGGTCGGTCCGGGACAGGGGAGGGTCGGTCCCATCCCAGCGGGGTCGGTCCCATCCCAGAGGGGTCGGTCCCGTCCCAGAGGGGTCGGTCCCATCCCAGGGGGGTCGGTCCCATCCCAGAGGGGTCGGTCCCATCCCAGAGGGGTCGGTCCCGTCCCAGAGGGGTCGGTCCCGTCCCGCCCCCGCCCGGCCGCGAAGGGCGCTGCTGCCCCCTGGCGGCGCGGGGCGGACACGGCGGGGCCCCCCGGTCCGGGCCCCCCGGGCCCCGAAAGGACTCGAGGAGCCGCCCGGCCGGGGCTGGCACGGGCCTGGCACGTACCTGACTGCCCGCAGTCCCCTCCGCACGCCGCTGCTGCCCACGCACCACGGTGGGACTCGTACCCTGGAGCACACCCTGCACTCGCCAGCCCTGAGGCTGAGCTCAGAGCTGGGCTGATTAACCGTATTTAAGGAGGGAGGATACAGCCCCACCTGCGGCTGAGCCAGTCCTCCCCCCGGCTCCTGGCCCACACAAACCTCTGCTCGAGCACTGCCAGCTGTCTGCAGCAGCCCCACCTCAGGGATGGATGGGTGGATGGATGGATGGATGGATGGAAGGACACAGCTTCTAGGGCTTATTCACTATCCCACTTGTGGCACTAAAAGCCTCATCAGAAGAGAGGATGAACAGCTTCACATGAGCCTGGATTACGAGTACTGGAGAACAGGGACTTTTATTTGGAAATCAGTTGTCAATTTACTGATAACAGTGACATTTACTCTCAGGTATTGCTGTGGGGACCTTCCCAACCCAGAGGGAGCCCAGCAGAGAGTGATTTGGATGCAGGACAGACCCTTGATTGACTCAGCAGTGCAGGTGCATCAGGAAAGGTGTTAAGTGTTGCTTTACTGTATCTGGTGATAACCTGGGTTACAGCTGCAGCAGAGCCTGGCTGAGGGATGACTGGTGTGGTGACCAGGCAGTGACCACAGGGGCTGGTAGGGCTGGGCAGGTCTGTGCCACTTGGGCACCTCCATGGCAGGACACCAGACACGCTGGGGGGCTGAGCCGAGCAAGGAGCGGGCTGCATGGACAATGTCCTGTGCTCCCGTGGTTCTCACGTCACTGACCTGGCTTTAGCTGGTTCTATAAAATCCAAGGTGGGCTGTCCCAAGGGCTGCAGTGCCCACTGGGGACCAGCTGCCACCAAGCCCCTCAGTTCTTCCCTTTGGGAGGTCATTGCTCTTGTCCCATTTGGCAGTGAGCACTAAATTGCCTTTAATTTCACTTTTACATCTGCTTTTGTCTGACATCACTTGTGCACTGCGGGCACGGTCCTCTTCCCGGACCTCAGTGTGATGTGTTCCCAGTGTGCAGGGCAGGGGGTTCCCCACGGGGGGGACATCTTGGCTGGCACAGACCAGCACAGGTCTGGCCATGCTGATGGCAACAGGCAAATTCTCACCCCTCGGAGGTGGGTTTTCTACTGGTCTACGTCCCTCTTCTCTGCGTTTACGCCACAGGCCCAGGGCTGAGAAGAAAGAGCCCATCTGTGCTCTGGGTGGCCCATCCAAACATATGCAGCAGGACACACACAGTCAGCTGCTGAGCACCCATGGGCATGGGGAGCAGCTGCAGGGATCTGCAGAGATGTGGTCACTGGCAACACAGCTGCCCACCGGCACGGGAGGGGCTGTGGGCTGTGGCACATGCCTCTGGCCACCACCTCCAGCCAGGGCTGTGGGATGAGGGCTGGGCAAGAGGCATAAAATCACAGACAGCATTTTTGAGAAAAGTTAAGCAGTTTATTCAACGGGATGAGTCCACACCCAACCAGTGGCTTCATCTACATGGCATCACCAGCACACACAAGGACCCACTCAGACACTCTAGCTGACGGCATCTCACCATACAGTACAGAGACAACACCGGGGAGGAGGAGGAGGACCGGTACAAGGGGCAGCAGCCAGCAGTTCCCCACGGCTGCCCGGCGTAACCAACCCCGTCCCCACCACACCTCACGGCCCAGCCACGCGAAGCACATCAGGCTCGGGACATCTACTGCCGCCCCTGAGAACCACAACACCGCTAGGGAAATGACACACCCAGGGTTACAGAAACGACCTACCAGGGGACTTCAGCCTAAGGAACAAAGTGCACTGTCATCTCCACCCCGGGGACCGCGCGCATCGCTGAGGCTCTGTACGGGGAAGGGGCTGCTGCGGTACCGTCACGCTCGGTCAGCACCATCCCAGGCCATGCCGGGCCCTGGCGAGGGCCAAACTGCCCTGGCACCACAGGATGGACGGGGCAGAGCTGGGGGAACCGGGCTGAGATCAGCGCTCGCTCTGCACAGCAGAGGAACAGCCGCCCCCCCTCAGGGCTGGGGGTCCCGGGGGCTGCGCGGCCCCTCGCCCGCGGTGCTGCGGGGGGCAGGAGCACACTGCACCCTGCTCCCGGCCCGGGGCTCTCACAGAAACTCTGTGAGGCCCACGCACAGTCTGTGCCCTCGGGGAGGCACCGAGGGTCAGGGTTGGTTACTCCCAAACCGTGACCAGGTTCCAGTTATGATGCTCCTACAATGTACGTGGTTCAATTCTGTGCCAAGTTCGCTTACAGAAAAATACATTTCTTCCCTTAAATTTACAGTAGTTAAAACTACACTTGGAATACTGTATTACAAAGGGGGAGTTTATTCTCCAACAAAAAGTCTTTGTTCCCTTTTCATTAAACAGAAAAATGGAAGGACTTTAAAAGCAATCGCCTCCAGCACAACACAACTGCCCAGACAAACCCATGTGTGTACAGCTCCCAGGCCTGAACTCCAACCATTTGTTCTGGTGCTCAAAAAGGCACTTAAAGATAAGAAAACAATTGTATTAAAAATCCACAACAAAACAAAACAAAGGAAAATGAAAGGCAATAATTTAATAGAAAGACACCGGAACTTGTACCGTATCTCCAAAAGTAAGAAGGGAGGAAATAAAACCCCTATGAACATGGGTTTGCTCTCAAGTCATCTTGGAAATAATATTAAAAAAAAGGAAACTGGCAAAGTGAACGTTCTCCAGGAACTAAACGGAAATAAAAATAATAATTACTGGCAACAGACACAGCGCTCATGCCAAACGGGTCCTTCCCTTCCCAGCACATGGCCGTGAGCAGCCCGGCCTGGTGGAACATCTGCTGCCACTGCCCTGGGCCGGGCCGGGGGCTGCACCAGGAAAGGGGGATGATGGAGAAATAAACACCAACATGAACCAACTGTGGTCGTTACAAATGCCAAGGACGTTCACAGACAAGCACACACACACCGTAGTCCCTGCCGATGGGACAGGAGGGACATGGGCAGAGCTGCTCCCCATGGGCTCTGCGACGGGCGCCGGCGGCTTTGCTTCCCTTCAGGGTTACTAGTATTATTACTGGGTTTATTTTTACATCGAGCTACCTACTAAGTGCAAAGATTTGGTGAGTGGCATCGGTTTTTATCTAATCTTAGCCTATTTTTGTACAGTTTACAGGTTAACAGTTACTTTCCAGCAACTAAGCAAGTACGGCAATATATACAGGGCTGGCAGAGCAGGGGGTGAGGGGACACGCGCTGGGCACGGGACAGGCACCGGCCGGTCCAGCCGGGTCTGTGATACTGGGTCTGTGACGCCGGCACCGTGCCCGGAGCGTGGAGGTGCAGGCATGGAGGGACAGATACGGAGGTTCAGGGGTGGAGGTATGGATATGGAAGTGCAGGCATGGAGGAGGAGGTTCAGGGGTGGAGGTATGGATATGGAAGTGCAGGCATGGAGGAGGAGGTTCAGGGGTGGAGGTATGGATAGGGAAGTGCAGGCATGGAGGAGGAGGTTCAGGGGTGGAGGTATGGATAGGGAAGTGCAGGCATGGAGGAGGAGGTTCAGGGGTGGAGGTAGGGATATGGAAGTGCAGGCATGGAGGAGGAGCAGGTGGAGAGGGGCACATATGGAGGTGCAGGCGGACTCACATGAGGGTGAGCTCCCAGGCTCAGACATGAGCCCTGGCAGGACCACTGGGCTCCACTGCCCTGACCGGTGCCTCTACCACCTTCTGGAAGTCAGGCTGCTCCTCCTGCAGAGCTGGGGTCCGCAGTGGTGCTGGAGCGGTGAGGAAGGTGAAGGGGGGACAAAGCACAGGCCCGGGCAGGGGCAGGTGGCTGCTGAGTGAGGCAGGAGGGTTTGCGGGCGTCTTTGCCCAGGCACAGACAAAGCAGCAGGGTCAGAGAGAGTGGGGAGGAAGGATGAACATTAAGGAGCCATTAGTACATGACCATGGGGAAGTGCCAAATCAAACCATGGGACATTGCATGGAAATCTGTACAAGGAAAAGCTGCAGGAGAAGCACAGAGCGTCTTGGATTCAGCGCTTAGAGCAGAGCCTGGATTATCAGACAGGACCATGCAATCCCCAGCTTTCTGCATATTTTTTCTCTGGGTAAAACAAAATGTAGATTCCTTTGCATAACTCAAACAGTTGTATTATATGGTACAGTACAGAAAGTGCAAAGTATCACCCATCAGATTGGTTCTGCATCTGACACGGTCAAATATGGCTCATGCTTCTCATGCAGGATCACGCACTCTGAACCGAGACCCCCTGTGCCGTTGGGCAGCTTCACACCGAGGAATATGGTGGTGCCAAACCTCCTCACTGCTTACGCCCAACTGTCGAGAGACCATTGGGTTGTCTTCTTATTAATTGAAAAAAAAAAAAAAAAAGAAAAAGAAAAGTGTGCGGGGAAAGGGAGATGAAGTATCTCCAAACTGTGTAAGTTAGTCCACACTTTACCACAGGTTTGTCACTAGTCCTTGTTCATTCTGAAACCTTCCAGAAAAGCAGCATTCCATGGCCCCAGTGCAGCACAGCATCCTCCTCCTGTGTGAAGGTGATGGTGCACACCTCGCTCTGTCCACACTCACGGCACTCAGCTCACTCTGTCCCTGCTGCCTGGGGCATCACAGGCACACAAAGATGTCTCAGGATTCAGGACTGAACAGACTCCAGCAGGCTGGACACACACCATCATTTATGGATTTCCAGCTCTTCTCTACAACCCAGCAGTGAACGGACCCCACTGTATCCCCATCCCTTTTTTTTAAATGCCAAGAGGTGCAGAAACTAAATTCCAGGATGGCCTTGTATTGCTCGACGCATGGCTGCTGCGGTGTGGGCCCCCACCCATGCACAGTCTGGGAAACCCAGCCCAACCCACCATCTCCAGAGAGGACATTTCAGAGCCAGTTTCTGAGGTAAATCTACTGTTTTAAAAAGTCACTGAATTCTGTACATTTTGTTCTTAATATACTCCTACAGAGAGCATGTGTTCTCCAGTGCTGACACGCAGACCTGCTGTCTCCTCCTGCTATAGGACTGCAAGCTCGGGAAGTGTTTCTGCATGGATAGGGTGTGTGCACACATATGTACATACACACACACACGTATGTACAGCACCAGGCCCAGGCTACGCTGTTCCCTTTTGGAGAGGCTCCCCCAGCAGGGCTCTGAGCCCCAGCTCGGCCCAGCGAGGCTTTGCCGTGTCCGGCCCCGCTCCCGCCACCTGGGCCGCGGCTCTCCCGCTGTGGTCCCCGCGCCCCAGCCTACATGGTGCCCGATTTATCTGCCGAGCTGCTGGGGAAGAGCTTCTCGGTGGGGGTGACGGCAGGGCTGCCCACCCCCGAGCTGCTGCTGCTGCTGGAGCGGTGCTGCACCACGGGCCGCACCGGCCGCATGGGCGGCGGCCGCAGCTGCGCCCCGGCCAGCCGGGCCGACAGCGCCGGCTTGAAGGTGGTCATCATCTCCGTGGTGGAGCTGCTGCTGCGCCGCATGGCCGCGTCGGGGTCCCGGATCAGGATGGTGTGCAGGGGGCTGGCTGGCTCCGAGTTGGCGGCGCCCATTGGGGGGTTCTTCATGGGCTCCAGCGTGTCCAGGACCACGTCAGGGGCCTGCTTGGCCGTGTTCTGCCTCTCCAGCTCCCGCAGCTCGTTCAGTGCCGTGCTCATGGTCTTCTCGATGTCCTGTGAATGCCAAAGGGATGTCAGCGCTGTGCTACAGCATGACCCGCTCTCCTCCAGCTTCCCAACAGCTGTCCGCTCCACCTGGGCATCATCCACCATCCCACAGCTGCTATTCCTGCTGGAGGTGACATGAACCAAACTGCTGGGACTGGGGGCACTGAACAGCCTGCCCACAGGTTTCCAGCCCCCAAGCCCCATGCCAGCCCAATCACAGCTGCTCAGACACAATGGGAGGGACTGTGCCTGATCAAGGTGGTCTCTGAAGTGCTAGAGAATTCCACAGCCAGTTCTTCGAAAGATCCATTCTCTGGGATGTGAACATGTTCAGAATAACCTGAATGATTCCTATATGGGTACTCCCGCCAGCGGCAGAGAGAGGGACCTGGAGCTACATTGGGGTCACAAGAATTAAAGGAGCCCCACGGATCCAGTGGCCTAACGTGACACCAACGGCACCACATGGCTGGAGACACCGCACGGGGATCAGACTCACATTCTGAGGTCACAGCAACAAACAGCCAATACAAAACTGCGGCACCTTTCCCCAAACAGTGATCATCGGTCCAGTCAAACTGATTCAGCAAATCCAGTTTCCTCCCTAAGCTCCTTATGTAGCACCCAGTGAGATAAAGCATTTCCCTCCCTGCAGAGGCAGGAGCTGCCAGTGCCCTTTCGGTGGTGGATCCAGCATTTCTGCCTACTGTTGGGCAGACATCAGGATTGTAAAGGAGCAGTATCTTCCATTACACCAAAAGATACAAGTGGGCAGCAAACAAGCTGCTGGCTGCTCATTTTAACCTTTACACCATGGCAGCACCATAGCTCTGAGTGCCTGAGGTGGAGGGGCTCTGAGCACTCCCCAGTGACCTCCCCTTTAGTCTCTCGGTCCCTTCCCAACACTCTTACCTCAGCAAGAGCTTCTGCTTCCAGAGATTTCTGATCCCCGAGGCTGCTGTGCCGAGTGGACCCACAGGTCGATCTCAGGGGGTGGCCATCAGCCAGGGCCTTCCTGTCTGGAAAATTGATGCTGCCCGCGCTGCCAAACGTCGCCATCCTGCGCTTCTCGGGACTGTCGATCCTGCCCCTGTTGAGGGGGATCTTGTGGGGGCTGCTGGGGCAGGCTGCTGCTCGAGGAGGGGTGTCTATGCCGGGCCCCATCCCTCGGGGTGGGCTGTGGGTGTCGCCCCCGCTGCGGCGCCGAGGGATGGCTGCGCCGTCAGACCTCAACCTCACCCTGCAAAGAATCCGGCACAGCGGGTCACTATCCATCAGCCCCACCACGGCTGGCTATGGGCTGCAACCGCTCAGCTCTGAGTTCAGCTCAGAACAAACTCCAGCCTTTCAGCTCCAGAAGACTCAGGCAAGAGGGAAGACAGACATTTAAGCCAGTACCAAGGAAGTGACAGCACTGAATCACAGAATCCCAGAATGTTTTTGGCTGGGACCTTAAGGATTATCTTGTTCTAACCCCCTACCATGGGCAGGGACACCTTCCACTGGACCAGGTTGCTCAGAGCTCCATTGCACCCTCTGTACATGTTAAATCCCCATTATCAATGCATGTGAAACCTCCTCCACGCTCATATTATCCAGCAGTGCTTACTGGACCCTTCCCTTCCATCCTGCCCTCCCCCACACACTGACTGTCCCCACATGCAATGGTGACCAACTCCACGCTCACGGGAAATGAGTTTCCCTACCTGCCCATCACTCCCCCGAAGCCATAGTCCATGATGTGATCCGTTGGGGACTGGATGTCGTTCTTGGAGGAAGCTTTATCATCAAGCAGTGGCCCACTGCTCGCCTCGCTGTCTGCCTTCTGGCTCAGGCTGTCAGAGAACGCATCATCCCTGGGGAAAGGAGACCCCATCAGTGACAGGGCTGTGTCCCTGCAGAGAGCCAGGGCCCAGCTGCCACACGGACCCGAACATCCCCATCCAGCAGTCCAGACTTGGGTAACAAAGGGCTGGACCAAGGCCATCACTTCACTGGGAGCTCGGAAACAGCTCCCATGCTGTCCCCACATCTTCTGTTCTGTGGCTGCCACTGTAATGACTCCAGGTACAGTCCTTGTAAGAGAAGCAGCACCGGCAAAGGGCCCTGGGATCTGCTCACAGGCCAGGCGGGCACTGAACAATCCAGGCCAGCACTCACAAGGGAAAGGCCAGTGGTAAGCCTGGGTCACACCACTTTGGGGAGTCAGTGAGAGCTGGGGTCCAGGCACACTGAGATACAGTGTTTAATGCTTGACTTTATCAGCCTCAAAGAAACAATCAGAGCCAATACATGGAGATGTGAACAGGCTCAGATTTCTCACTGAAGTCATTAAACCTCATAAAATTATTTTAGGTGGCTGAAGTGGAGCTTGTGTAGGTACATGATTTTAACACCCTGGATCAACCCTTACCACTTTACTCACATGTCTTGCACCACGATGTACTGGTGGGGGATGAGCCCATCCACCCCGTTGTGTCTTCCTTCCCACCAGTCTTCTGATGCCCGATGGTACAGCAGGAGTGAGGCCCCTTTCTTGAAGGAGAGCTCCCGTGGAGATCGTCCAATGTAGTCAAACTTGGCTATAGCTTCAATCTGCTCCACCTCTGCACAGGAGAGAGGCACAGCGAGAGAACAGCTTAGCTCAGCCCTCATGAGGGAAGATAAACCCTAGAGAGACATCTCAGCAGAGCAGCAGTGTTGCTGCTGCCCAGCATTCCCAGAGCATCTCATACTGAGCACAAACCTTCTTATTTTCAGACTGATCAATTCTTACTGTTGTTCCAGCCTTCCTGGGGTCTCTCACAGACTCACAAACTACCAGCAGTTACAAACATCTACAACCAGACGGGGGAGCAGTTGGAATCTCCCTGTGTGCATCTGGCATCCTCACCTGCACTCCAATTTTCTGCCTTTGGTTACAGAACCCCATTATCCACCAGCCTGGGATCTTGTCAAGCTGTGTCAGATGCTGTCCGATCAAACCCTGCTTACCTTCTCTTTCTTTCCTTATCCTGGAGACAGTTTGGTTTGAATTATTGATGAGCAACTAATGCCCCTCTGGGGATCCCCATGGAAACGATGATAGCGGCTCCAGCCACACAGCTGCTCTGCACCCATCTGCAGCACGGCCTGACTGCTTCCCCCTTTTCCTAGTGCCACCCCAGCCACCCCTGCCACTGTCAGAGCCAGCCAGCAAGTGTTAACATGCCTTGATGACCTAAGACACCCAATCATTTTAATCCCCACCTGGAGACTGGCAGACAGGTGATGACAAAGCCAAACAGGGCAAACCTGCCCAGTTCCTCCCGATCTGCCACGTTCTCATTGAAAACCTTTCTCATTGAAACTTGCTCTGCCCCATAACTGACCATGGGCTCAGCAGCTGTCAGGGTGTGACCCGATGCAAACTCACACAGAGCAGGGGACACCAGAGGAGGACACAAGAGATGCTGTCCCAGACCTCTGCCCGTTCCAGCCCCACCCAGGACAGGCCAGGCCGCTTCAGCAGACTCATCTTCCCCACCTTGAGCAATCCCCACACGAGGGCAGTGTCTGGGAGCACCACAGAGGCATCAGTGGGAATGTTCTGGAGGAGACAGAGCTGGAAGGCAGCCAGGAGGGCTCCCAAAGCCCTGACAGAACACTGGGCTCCAGCAGGGAGTGTGTGCAGGGCAAGGGGAAGAGGGAATATGTAAATTCATAAAATAAAGCTGCTTCTCTACTCTACGCTTGACCCACAGTTAATCACCCAGAAACCCCAACTGGAGCTATTAACATGGCCACCCAAGTGTGAAATTGGCTGCACAGCAGCTCCCTCACCTTCCTCTGCCAGGCCTGTCCGCTCCTGCCTGGAGCCAAGAGCAGGTCCTGAGCAGCCTGGCCCCATGTGCCCTTCCCTGTGTCAGGGGTCACACAGCCCCATGGGCCCTGCCCTGTGCCATTCCCTGCTCCCGTGGCCCCACCAGCCAGGTGAGCCCTTCCTCCTGCCTGCAGCCCTCTGAAGGCAGATGTGCTCTGCCAGGGCAGGACACAGCTGAGGCAGCAGAAGCTCTCAGGAGGCAGAAGGTGCTCAGCTCCCCAGTGCCCTTCCAACACAGGAAGCCCTGCCATGGAACAGAGCCATAGGGCTGGGCATTCCTTGCCCCACAGCAGTGCCAGCAGGTTCCCCCAGACTGGTGCCTCTGGGATGTGGGAAGCGCTGCCTCCTGCTCCGGCACCACGGCCTGGAGCGCAGACGCTCCGTGCCCCACTCTGCCAGCACTCAGCCCATCCTGTCTCCCGGCTCAGTGCACACTCCTCCCCTGCACACGCAGCTCTGCTGCCACAGACCCAGCCCTGCTCACAGCGTGCTCACCATCGTCGCTGGTGTGCGGCTCCGTCCCGTTGTCGTGGTCCGCCTCGTCGATGGTGCCCGGCTCGCTGTGCGGGCTGTCGCTGCAGGGAAACACTCACTGTCACACCACAGAGACCCTGCTCCCAGGCACTCTGCACACCAAACTTGATGGGGGAAATTTTGGCCTCAGAGATACTCGGAAGTAACATTTTTAGTTTGCATAAGGCCGCAATGGTCACTTTACATCACAGCAGATCTCTGAACTTGCTCTGAGAACACCAAACACCCACACCACAATCTCCAGCCAAGAACGTCACGTTCTATTGCTCTTATGCCTTTACTTGTATGTGGCAAAACAAACACGAAGTGACACCAAGCTAAATGTCCCATTTGCTCACTCACAGCGAGCTTTAGCACTTTATCAACTGCTGCACCAGGAAGGATGGTGGCAGGTGACCAGAGTCAGGGAAGCTGAGGTCCCAGAAATGTATAAAACTTGCACATAGTTCAAGTGTGTTATCAATCCTGCTTTGTTAAAGCCAGACCTCAATGTGAGATTAGAATTCCAGCAAAAAAGGGAACTGGAAGGTTCAGGTTAACCTGGGGCTGAGGGATTTCGTCCAACCAGCAGATTATGATGGAACTATGTGTCTTTACTCAAAATTTCCAGCCTAGGATTTTTTTTTGATAAAATGGACCTAAAATTCTGATTTGCTCTGAATACACTTCTGTGGATCCAGAGCTGAAAGAATCTTCCATCAATATTAGTATTTATACTGGAAAGAGTTTCTCCTGAAATTTTTACTGAAGTTTGTAATGCTGAGTCAGCATGAGAAAAAGGAATATTTGGTTAAACTGCCTGTTTTAACTGATAATATTAAATCAAATGAGTAGGGACTGCTTGGCTCGGTGTGCAAGAGCCTCTTGACCTGATGGAAGTGTTTATACCCAAGAACCCTGCAGAGAACCTTACCAGTACTCCTCTCCTCCAGTCATGCACTTCTCATAGACGGGCCCTTCCAGCTCTCGGTGGCTGGGGAAGATTCCCTCGTGGTGAATGATGATGGTTTTGATGACCTCATTGACGTGGGCCTGGCAAGACACCGGATCCTGCCCGTCGGGAATGTGCATCAGCGTGGGCCCGAAGCAGATGGCCAGGTTGTAGGGATCCATCATGTTCTCATCGCTGTACTGCGACAAGCTGCAGGCACACGGCGAGGGAGCTGCCGTGACAGCGTCCCCATCCACCAGAGCACCACCACCAACCCCACTGCCCAGGGAGGCACCAACCCCACTGCCCAGGGAGGCACCAACCCCACTGCCCAGGGAGGCACCAACCCCACTGCCCAGGGAGGCACCAACCCCACTGCCCAGGGAGGCACCAACCCCACTGCCCAGGGAGGCACCAACCCCACTGCCCAGGGAGGCACCAACCCCACTGCCCAGGGAGGCACCAACCCCACTGCCCAGGGAGGCACCAACCCCACTGCCCAGGGAGGCACCAACCCCACTGCCCAGGGAGGCACCAGCACTGGGCTGTCCCCCTGCCCCGAGCACACAGGGCTGGGGAAGAACCAAATACAACTCCCCACAGCAGCACCAGAAAGGACTTGTGCACCAAAGACAGGGAAACCCTGACAAAAGGGAGGGCAAGGAAAAGCTCGCTGAAAGAGGAAGACAGACTCACTGGTTAAGGAAAGCAAAGAGGTATCTCATGACCACGATGACAGCCCGAGGCAGAGTGACGACAATCTGCTGGATCTGGTGCACTCTCTCAGCGGGGTTCTCCATTTCTGGAACACATGAATAGAAAGCACATTCCTAAAAACCTTCTCAGGACCAGACAGCATGGCACCAGAGGGACTTGTTCCAGATCCAGTGGCCCACTAAGTGAGAAAAATAACACTCTGTCTTCAGACATGATCCACAGGTTTGGCATTCAGGTACAAGCAGAGAATGGGGCACAGTGCTCCTCCACAGGGGAATTCATACATTCAGGTTCAGTAGAAACAGCAAATCAAGACATTTCCATGGGTTTATTTTTAAAATAAGTGTTTATGCATTATTTAGTTCATTCCTCAACAACTCCTCTGTTCCTCAAAAGCCTGAGTCAATGTGACATTGGAAATGGAGCACTTCTTGATTTTCTAGGGCAGATTTTTAAATGAGGGTTTTATTCATCTTACTCTTCTGGATTATGCATTGGGTCCTTCTGAGCCCTTCCACTCCTGTCTCCCACTGCTCTCAATAGGAATTAGAAATTCCTAGGAAATAGATGAACTGAACCGGTGCTGAGTCAACACTTTTGGATTCACTTCTCTCCACAGGCATGCACAGAGCCCAGAGCTGCTGTCAGAAACCTGCTCCCTTCCTGGGAAGAAGAGCGATCCAGGGCTGTCCTGCCCTGAGCTATCCTGTGTTCTGTGGAGTTAATCCTGCAGCTGCTGTGGCACAGGAAGCAGAGGACAAGCACCAGAGCTTCCTGGAGTGGGTGGATCACACAGAGGTGCTTGTGCTGGCTCAAATTGCCATTTGCTGATCACAATAAAAATCACTGATAACATGTAGCTGGGCTGCCATTCGCTCATAATTCCGAGTAAAATCTGGCTTCAGTTCCAAGATGGAAAGCATTATAATATTTCATTTGGGGAATTTTTCCATTTGAGGAATGGATTTATCCTGCTATTGCCTGCTGGGTTCTCTATTTCTTCAGTTTGGTTTTACTAAAGAGGATGTTAGTTAAAAATACCCCCACCAAATAAATACAAACTAGATGAAACCCTATGGCAACAGGCATGTGTTCTGAAACCCAGAGGAACAAACTCGAGGCACTTGCCTTTCTCAATGAGCAAAACATTTTGACTGGCTGTAATTTGGGAATTAACGGCATAACCATCATCACTCTACACATGGGCACAGCCCTGTGTGGACTCTGCTGACAAAGGGCCTTTTAACCCATTTATTGCCCAGGTGCCTTTGAGGGGCTTCTACATAAACCCTCAGCCCCCCAAGAGCAAAAGGAAGAGTTCTGCACTCTGCTTAGTCTGGACGCTGACTGCACAGCCTGTGTTTAGCACGTCTGTGTGGCACAAAGGCAGCTGCACTTCAGGTCAGATTCCTAATGGGAACAAAGCACTTTAATTCATTGAAAATCTATCCTTAATCAGAAGGTTGCAGGAGTAGCAGGAAAAGAAAGATGAGGAAAAGGAAGATTCTTGCTAAAACGAGAAAATAGAGAGAGAGACAGAGAATACCATCCAGAAAATTAACAGATGCTGTTTGCAACAAAAAGCTCCCAAAAGCTTAATAAATTGTGCAAATTGGCATTAATTAGGGATGGTGCCAAAGCACAAGCCTATCTGCAAGCACACAGGCAATCACATCATCAAGCACAAGTCCTGGCACCAGAGGAGACCTATCCCCTTCTCCTGGGCCTTGTCCCCTGGGAAGGGCAGACAGAACCAGCACCAGCCAGACTGAAAATACCTGTCCAGGGCATGGAACTGATGCAGAACCAGCTTCTTTTGCTTGTCTCACAGGTGTGCTGTGCTGTTTTACACATCAAAACAGCAACAGTGAATTTCCTAAGGCTACTACATAAACCAACTGTTGTTGAGAAACCAGAGTACATTCTTGTCCTGTGGAACAAGCCCATCCCTGCACCAGCCCCCTCCAGATATCATCTGTCTCCCCTGACATCACCAGATCCCCAGCAGTTATGAACATGCACATTCAGAAGGGGGGGAAGGAGTGAGCAGTGAAGCCAAACAAAGGCCTTGAGCATACGTTCCCCAGTCAACGCCCCTGAACCACCCATGTACCAAGACACCCCAACACCAACAACTCCAACACCTCTCCTGTAAAATAAAGTCACCCTGTAGCCAAAGCATGCAGCACCTCCATCACTTCTGAAACATCAGACTCATTCTGCCTCCTTCCTTCCCCCCAGGGGAATAATTTCCACAACTTGCCAATAAATAAATGTCATTGCTACGAGGTACTGAGAGAAGCACACCCCAGCTGGGAGAGCTGATCCTGCAGCAGAGTATGTGCTGAGCTGAGAGGAGATTTCAGGACGAACAAGAAGCAACCAGACTCTCCCTGACATCAGTCCCAAAGCCCCTCAGCTTCTCCCTCTGCTCATCCCAAAGCACTTTCTGGTTTTCTTTGGGACAGCAAATGCATACAGCAAATGTGGAGAACAACCAGGTCTGCAGACTCCAGGGTTGGGGCAGCTCTGCGAATAGCCAAGAGTTCCTGACCCTCGCTGTCTTTAGTGGAAGCCACTGAGCTAAAGCAGCTAAACCCCTGTGGGTCCAGGAGCCATGACTGTGGAGAGGTGACAGGCACAGGAACCATGGTGACCTGTGCAGACCTGAGGCAGCAGGACAGCAGCCACCCCCACGAGGGGTCACACGATTAATGACCCCTCCTGCAACCCTCAGATGTGGATACGGCCTTGCCGCATGTGCAGCCTCCTGACCTAAGCCTGGAGACAGCTCTGGGGAACCTCACGATGTTGGGAAGAATTCAGAAGAGCCATAGCAAGATGTTTCCCCTCTCCCTCCTGCCAGCACTCCCAACACATACTCCTGATGTCTTTTCCTAACAATTCCCTTTGCCCACCTGCAGCCCTTCTCATGGCACAAACCCGTTTGCAAGACTCAGGTGTACCTGCCCCCTGTTCTTACCCACCCTGCTCTCCACAAAGAGCTGTCACAGGTACTTACTTATGGTAGATATCAAATCTTGAAACCTTTCCTTAGGAAAGAGGGGGTTTTCCAGTCCTCGGAAATACAGCTTCAAGACTCCAGCCACTGAGTTAATGTCCCGCTCATTCTGATCATCAGCGAGGGGATCTTCACCTGTCCGGAGAAGAGGTTTTATGTCCAGTATCACTATCAAGCTGGACTAACACAGTAAATGTTTTTTTCCTCACTCAGTGGAACCCCCAGATTTCACAGGGTTCAGAAACCCTCCTTGTGTGCAATGGCAATGCTGAGTGGTTCCTGAAAACCAGTTTAGTGTGGGGATTTCAAACCTTTCCTGAGGATGATGATGCTATTGATCGCCTCCCCTTCAGTTTTCCAGCCCAGTGCAGTTTGCATTTACAGCAGCAGCCCAGAGAGCTGAGCAGGTCTGAAGGACTGTGGATGAGAGCCTGAGGGGACAGGCTTGGCTGGAGGATGCAATTATGCCTCTGGAATAGACCCAATGGTTCTAGACAGCATTATACTGACTTAAACCTATGAAAGGCTTTCAATCCTAAGGGATGTAGATACCAATTCCTCCTAAATTGTGCAAATCCTCCAAATTCAGCCTTTGACAATTCCACCACTGCCTTACCCATTGGCCCAGCCACCTTCACCCTGATCTTTCTGATGCTGCTCAAGGATTAATGGCCACTCTTCCCACCTGGGCTGTCCCTGTTACAGCTCCCCTCCACTCGGGACAGCAGGACTGCTCTGCCCTGCCTCGCCAGCCTGGCACCTCCAGTGTGGGTTTGATTTTCTCAGCAGAATCACTGGTGCCTCCACAGCCAGCACTGCCACCAGGTACAGGTGGGAATGCTGCTCCTTTCCTGACATACTGCTGAGGAGGAAGAAGGATCCCCCAAAGTGTTTTATGGGTCTTGTGTTCTTAATGACTGTGGAAAAGATGCCTGACCTACCCCTACTTCTCATATTCCTTCCCTGGGTGACTGTTTGCTACTGCCAGAGATACAACATTGAGAAACCCAGAAGGGATAAAACCTCCTTGTGTCTCACAGCAGAAAGGGCTTTACCCAGGCTTTACACCATGGCTAATGCCCCCAGCACACACCAACCCCCACCAATGATCCCTGCTTGGACACAGCATCCCGTGTACCTGCACAGCCTGGCTACACACCTCTCTCAAACGAGTTCTTGATGTCGTTGACTTCTACCTGGGAGCCAGGGACTCTGAAGATGCCCTGCTGCTGGAGGCCTGGAAGAGAACAACATTTTAAGAGACATTTTTTTGGAACTGTTGGGCAGCACCTGCTGGTAAAAACAGCAGAACCCAGGAGCTGATGCACTGGAGAGGCTTGGAGCAAGCGGGGACAGTCCTATGTGATTCACTGCTCCTCCAAGCAGGAACCACAGATCAAGGCACTGAAAGGGCTCGTGTCCTGAGCAAACAATTTAACCTGGGTATGTCCTAACAAGACCTAAACATTGGCAAGGCATCCAACACTCATCACAGCCAACGTGACTGGAATTCTAAGCCGAGCCCACGGAGCAGCACTGCAGGCACCCCCAGGCGTCTCTGACAGATCTCACTGCTCACTCAAGTGCTTTGCTCCCAGGCAGGAGGTTTCTGTGGGCGCACTGAGTCAACTCACCGTACAGATTGATGTAGCGGATGCAGCTTTCTACAACAAGTGGAATGGCCTGTCCCGAGTCCTTCAGGAAAGGAAAGGAAAAAAAGGAAAAAATTACTGGTTTATTGCTAACAAAGCACAGGAAAAAGCGTTAAGAGATGGTAAAACCAGAGATTTGAAAATCAGTGCCATGGAGTTTATTAAGAGGACAGGCAAGGAAAGGAGATGTTACAGACATGGAGCCATCAAAGAGCGCTGAGGATACTGTGTGCAGCCAATAACGTACAAAAAAAATTGTCACTAAAGGTGTGTGAAACACTGCTGCTCTCCCTGTCTGGCTCAGACAGGGGACTGCTGCAAGAATCACAGCTGTTCCATCCCAAAGGTGGAATGCTGAGCTGAAATAAAACTTGTGCTATACCTAGCTGATGGAATAAGCTTCCAGTAACAGAACTTACAACAGTATTTTCCACTGAAGGGAAGAGCCATTGTCAGCAGGTGCTAAAAAACCCAACAAGCACCACTGTGCATGGAATGTGCCTGGGTCTGAACCAGCGATGAGTTTTGGCTTTTATTTCAAAGCTCTTTCTCCCCAGGTCCCTCGTGGCAAGGGCTCAAGGGGAACGTGGGCCGTGGCTGACAGCCTGAGTGGAACGTATTTCCCTTTGGGGCTGTGTTTGTTTTTCCAGCAGAGCTCAGTGGCGTCTCTGGGCAATTCCCTCCTCTCACAGACAGGCATCCAGTAAATACCTGATTCCTTGTTCGTGCATTCCTCCTCCCTCTGAGCACACAAAGAAGCAGCAGAGTGAGAAAAAGAAAACAGATTAAGCAGGGATAAGTTCAGTTAGAGGCAAGCGTCTCCTTCGGAGGCCATGAACGCTCAGATGCAACAGCAGCTTAGCAAGGGCCAACCCAGGCCTTTGGTTTGTCTGCCCTCCCTCCCAAACCCTTTGGCACACTGCACCCAGCCTCAGCAACCTGCAGGGACAGCCTCTCGGATTTCCTCCCTCCTTGGACCTGTAGCATTCCCAGGAGCCTGAGGCAAGGCCAGGCAATTTTCTGGGAGAGCTGCCCTACCATAGGGACACCTGGCAGCCCTGGGGGCACATGGGGACCACTGGGCAGCCTGGGAGACACCAGGTAGCCACCCACAGCCCTGCTCCATATGGGGCCATACATCCCAGGGGTTGGGCCATCCCCCGAGGGGTCTCTGATGGCAGGAACACCCCTTGGCTCAGATGGATTTCTAGAGCAGATCATTCCTCCCCCACAGTGCTCAACAGGCTGGGCTTTAATGAGCATTACTTTTTCAAAAACCAGTGTAAGTCAGGAGTAATCATAAGTCCTAAAGGGATTAGCAGCTTTGCCAGCAGGCCTGTACTCCCCACGCTGGGTGCTGTGTTTAGACACTGCCCTGGGGCATGTGGCTGAGCATTCCCTGAGGGAATAAACCAGAGCTGGACAATGCCTGTTAGTCACCTAATCCAACAGTTTGTCGTTAGTGCTTCCTACACTGTTTTCACTACAGCTTTCTCCAGCATAGGGTTAAACACTGCAACTGGAACAGCATCACTGCCTTGGGAAATCCTTCCTGCAGTCGTGCCATCTGATCTTTGCAGGGTGGGTGGGAGCAGGAGGATGAGCAGGACACTCAGCCAGGATTGTCTCGTACTGCACATGGCCATGGCCAGCCCTCACTGCTGCCCTGGCCCAGGGCACACAGGGGACGGCACGGGGAGTGCCCGAGGGGCAAGGGGGGCTATGGAGAGAAATCGTCACCGAGGCAGAGCCGTGCTGGCCACGCCGGCTGGGGGCAGGTTGCCGGAGGGACCCCTGAGGACAGCGAGCAGCCAGGACAGAGAGCCACCGTTCCATTCCCAGCGTTCACAGACACTCCTACTGCAGCCAGCGAGTACCTTAATGAACGTTTCCATATTGCCGTTAAAGAGTTTATGATTATACACTGAGAGAGGCCTAGGTCTCCTCATTTTCTGTGGCTTAGGGGGAAGACATGGGGGCCTGGGAGAAAACGGAACAAAATAAGTCAACATAACACCAACATAAATGCAATGATAGGGTGAAATCTCAAAGGTTATGACTGAGCCTAAGAAATCAAACAGAAAAATCTCTCTGTGAGGACCTGGCATGCGGCTCCACGTGCCCTGCAGCTGCTCACGCTGCTGTGTCCCATCCAACACTGCCCAGTGGGAAACTGAGGCACTGGTGCTCAGCAGGGTTTTAACAGCCGCCTCCTTCCTCCACCAGCTCAGCACTCCCTCAGCCTGAAAAGGCACCAAGAGCAGCTAAGGAGTTCAACTGGTTCCTTGATATATCCAAAACAAACCACAGCTACCCCTGGAAAATGCTGGGGTCTTCCCATTTGTTGCTAAATGAATCTCATTCTTCTCACAGAAGAGGCCAGAGAGAGGACAGTGGGAACACCACCACCTTCCTGTGTCTAACTTCTGTTTGGGAAATCCAAGGATGGGAAACCCCTTCCCCCTTGCTAAGGATCAAGGGGCCTGTCCAGGACAAGGACAGATGCCGAGACCCTGCCTGAGATCCAGTCAGGGTAACAGCCACCACTGCTGGAAATGAGGTCAGGGAAACCTGGGACGGGTTTCAGTGCAGTGCTCAGGGCTTTGGAGGGCTGTTCTCATTAATGCTATTCCCAGTCTGATTCCTTTAGATAATGAGGGGCATTCAGAGCCTTACACCTAGAAAAGGGAGAAGAACACCACCACAAATCCCAAATGGATTTGTGCCCTGCCCTCTGCCCCAGGCTGTAGTGATGTCTGCAGGGGAGAGAACACAACTGTGAACACACACAGAGCTGGGAGCCGGGAGCCCACGTGCAGGAGTTCTCACACTGCACTGCATAGGGCACAGACAATTTACAGAGCTCGAGGCAAAGGTGACAGTTGGGGTCTGCTGGTTCCTTAATCAGACGCCTCTAATTAAGCAACTTGACACTCCTACAGCTTCCAAACACTCCTCTGAGTGGCAGCGGAGGAGCAGAGGTGGCTGCTGCCTGTTGGAGCACCGCACTGGCTCCCTCTGCAGCAGCCCTGCCTTGTGCACCCCACAGGGGCTGTGCCCTCAGCCCCCAGCCACGTCTGCACACCCCCGGGCTGTGCCCTCAGCCCCCCAGCCACGTCTGCACACCCCCGGGCTGTGCCTTTAGCCCCCAGCCACGTCTGCACACCCCCGGGCTGTGCCCTCAGCCCCCAGCCACGTCTGCACACCCCCGGGCTGTGCCTCTAGCCCCCGCACGCCCCAGGCTGTGCCTCAGCCCCCAGCCACGTCTGCACACCCCCGGCACCCCTGGCTCTGGGGCAGCGCTGGCAGCGAGGGGCTGATCCAACAGCGACCTGGAACACGGCCAGGGGCAGCTCCTCAGAGTGCTCCACAGGGACACACTGCACAGCCCCCACTCTCTGAAGGTCCCTCTTGTCCTGACAGACCCTCTCTGTCCTGACAGACCCTCTCTGTCCTGATGCCCTGATGCCAGTGGGCCTGGCATCAGCAGCACAAGGAGCCTCCTTCCTGCCTGGCAAGGCAGTCCAGGCTGCACCATCTGTTCCACCATTCCTAACAGGGAATGGGGCTTTTTTTGTTTGTATTGTAGATTTTATTAAACACTGAAACAAGGTTGGAACAAGCTCACATGGAGAGAGGCTGTGCATGTTCTGGGGAGTTGTCTGGAGGTTTTGCTGACCTGCGTCTTGCTGTCAGAACACCAGTACACCCCTAGCAAGCCACTGGAGCTTTGTGGAGATGTTTCATGAACTAGACATGGATCAAAGCCTCCTTCCTGTCACATACACCCCAGCACTATCTCCTGCTGTAGAGGGATGAAGTCTGCGATACAGGCACGCTCTGCACTCCCAGGCAAAGCAGCCAGAGCTGAGAGAGGCTTTTAGGGACATATCCAAGTCCTCAAACCAAGGAGTGGGTGGACACCCTTGTGTCGCTCTGTCTGAACACAACCTGATCTCAGCTACGCTCCAGGGCACCGCACTGTGCTGACATGGCATGTCCAGGCACATCAGAGCAAGCCAGCCAGAAACCACACTGCAGCAGAGCTGAGGTCCTGCCCGTCACCCCCTCATCCAGGCGCTCCAGGCCATGCAGCTGGGAAGCAGGATGTGGGGCATGGGGACCACCAGCCTGCCAGCACAGGTGGCTGCAGGTGGAAACTGAACCCCACCAAGCTGCACCAGTAGCAAAGCAAACCCCCATTCCCACAGCCCCCACCTGCCAGTGCCAGCCCTCCCCAGGAGCAGATGAAGGGGAAGAAAGTGCTCACCTGGTTGTTCCGCACTCGGCCCTTTCACCTGTAAGAAACACAAGTTCCCATCATCCCTCCACATCAGCCACCAGGGAAAGACCAGAACAGCACAGCTGAGCAGGTGCTCACACCCTCACTGCTGGCTCCTACACCCCGAGGAACCGAGGCAGTGTAGGAAGCCCAAGGTAATGGTTTCTGACAGAAAGCAGCTGAATCTGGGGAGAGGAGGTGCCCTGTGCTATACAAGCCCCCATCACTAAAAGACAGATTAGAAATCCAAGAGGGGGAGAGGGGCTGCAGTTCCCACAGACATCACCGGTTCCTTTGCCATGTGAAGCCCACCCTGGCCATACCCAGCTGCACTACAGGCCCACAGCACGGGCTCTGGGACAGCTGCAGTGACGGGCTGAGTGCCAGCAGGAACGGGGCAGCCTGAGAAGGGCTGCAGCCCCAGGGAGCCCATGGAGATCACCCCACTCAATGAGGGCCACGAGCAGCACCTGAAGGCAGCAGAGTATTCGGCTCCCCAGTTTCTCCTGGGAGATGACAGCCCATCAATCACCTTTGGGCAGACTCTGTCCTGGCTCTCAATATTCCCATTCCCTCCGTGTATTTTTAGTATTTGGATCTCATATAAATGCCAGGAGATCCCTGCTGATTAGATCTGTTCAATTTTTGCAGTATTTGTCAACCCACTGAAAAAAACCAAACTGATTTCACATGCTGTTTGTGCCTGTCTCCCAGGGCCAGGAAAGCTGAGTTATACTTCCTTTGCTAAGACACATAAAAGGAAGCATTTGGCTGCACATGCCTCCTTCCTGCTCTCCCTTGGCACCTGCAGAAAGCAAGCTGGCAGCCAATTCCTCACTGAAACAGCAAACAACTCCACATGAGTGGTTTGCAAATCCAGACTCCTTCCTAACAAGAATCAGCTCACACTGAAACGCAGCATTTGGTATTTCTGGGCTAAATATTTGCTGAATGCCTACAGAGCAAAACAATCCCATGGCCTGGGAGAAGCTCAGAAAGCTTCATGTGAGGATCTTCAACAGCTGCTTCTGCACAGCTCTACTGAACGAAATGCCTGGCCCTGCATCTCCCTCCTGAGCACAGCAGCAAGTGGCTCGGGGTGAGAGACCAGGATGGCAACAAATGAACCTCCCCCAGACTCCTCACTTCTTGCCCCAGTCCACAGGAGCCTGAGCACTGTATCCCAGCCCTGGAGCATCCCCTGTGCTCAGTCTGTGCCTGACTGGGCTCTGTGTTCACTGAGGGGAACACACCACAGGATCTAATTAGAAGGTGGATTTTAAGGTTAAATAAATTTGGCAAACACATTTGGCAAAACAGCTGACAAAAATCTATTATTTATTTGTTTTACTCTGAGATGAGGAGTCCAATTTTCCGATTGTTAAAATAAAGCCATGGATCATTTGCATGTTTTAATTTAAATATATTCTCTCCTGTTGGGAGAATCAGGACACCAACTCATTTCCATCTTCTTTACACTGGAAATAATTCAGTTGATTGAGACTCTTTAAAGAGCTAAAATCTTCTCCCAGGGCTGTGGTGACATCACCACCCCAGCAGTGGTGGGTCCCACTCTCAGAAGCCACTGCCACTCTGTTGTGTGGAGCCTGCCCATGTGCTGTGCTCTGAACCACACTGGTAAGATTATCTGGGGAAATAAAAGTCTCCTATGGAAAAACTGGTTTATAACCAAGGATGTCCTTGCAAGTCAAAAAATCCATGGCCGGGGACAAGGGGCTGTAAAATCAGCAAGGGTGCTGCGAATCTGTGACACAGACACAGCATCGAGGGCTGGGAAATCCCTGTGTCAGGGCTGCAGTGCGGGAGGGAGAAGGGGGACAGGAACTAAAGAGGCAGAGAATGGAAGGGGTGGGAATCTCTGCTGCTGGAGAAGTAACGCAGCACTTCAACACTCCGACTCACCTTCTCCCAGAGTCTGCTTCAGCAGGTCGTGTTTAGCCTGGAGCTTTGTGATGAGGTTACTGCCATTCAGATACTCCTTAAATTTCTGTAATCACAAAACAAACAAGGTGGATTAAGCAACACAGCCCATTATTGATGTTCACTGTTGCCTGGGGCCTGCTGCTGGAGGGGGACTGGGCTGCCAGAGGGGGCTCAGAAGGCTGTCAGGCTCAGTCCAATCACTTCTCCCTGCTCCAGCCACTGGCTTGGTGATCTTATTAGCCCAGTCTCCTTGGTACTGCACCTCCTGCCTGGGAATGCAGGGAGAGCCAAAGAAAGGAGTTCAAAGCCGGCTTTCCTTTGTCATGCTTCTGGGAATGGCCTGGGAAATCAAAGAGGCTTTCCCTGCACTGCCAGTGCTTCGACTCTGTGCAAAAGCAATGCCGAGCGAGAACTCCCAGAGCCTGAGCCCTCCCAGGGCAGGGACTGTCAGATGCTCCATGTTTGGGTAACTATGCAGCACAACCTCCCCTTCCAATGTGAGGCTGTCAGACACCCAGGAACACTCCAGATCAGGGCATTACACAGGTAAGAGGAGAGAGGGAGGCAGATATGGAAAAAGAAAGACAGAGAACAAGAAATATCAAATTTCTGCAAAAAGCATTAAAATAATCCCAAACACAACTCCAAATGAAAATTGCAATTGCCCCACCTCACCTCAATTTGCAATATTACTACTATTAAGAGAAGCTAGGAGCTTTTCTATGCACATGTAATGCATCACAAGATGCTGTTAACTGCAGGCTATGGCCCACAGCTGAAATGAGGGTCACTCTGTTGAACTCGTGGTTCTTCCTTGCATATCACAGGTACCAGAATGGAGACCTCAACTCTGCCTGGGAGGGCAGCACAGAAGCAGGGAAAGCACACACAGCCCCTCTCCTGGCACATACTCCACGGCCCAATGCCACACAGCCCGGCTCTCGTGGCTTCAGCTCACCCAGGGGCCAAGAGCAAATTTCAGCTGTGCAGGACAGGGAGGGAAGGCCTGGCTGATAGTTCACAGCCCCTGGAAGGTGACACACAGCCAGAGTCTGCACCAGGTTCTGAGCCTCTTCTACGGTGCTTGGTAAGTTTTTGGTCACTCCAGTTGTTCCTTCGAAGAGAAGAACGAGGCAAGCACTGGGTTGTCAGTCCCTGTACCCTGCCCTGCCACTGAAATGCACTGAAATGCATTCCAGACCCAAATCTGACAGAAGACAAGCACCTAAAGAGACTGAATTGGTTCTTGTTTTTCATTAACGAGCACTTAACTGGGCCTCAGCCCTGGTAATTAATGCTTTGTGTCCTGTACGGCATGAGCTGAGACTTACCGAGAAATAGAACATTTCTGTCTCCTGCTGGTTAGCTCTCCTCTTGGCGATGTTGATTTTGCTCATGTAGGTCTCCGATGCAGCTGATTTGACCGACTCAGTGGAGCGGCTGTGCTGGAAGGCATCTGAAACATCAAAATCTTCCACTGTCAGCATGTCCTGCAAGGTCTGCATTGTGGCATCCAGCGTTTTCCGTACCTATTGGAAACAGGACAGATGGGTTTGAAGCAGACTGGCAAAGGGACACATCCTGAACAAAAGCAACCAAGACCTCCTGAGCCCTGGGCTTGCACTGGCCGTGGTCTGTGGGCACTCCCAGCTCCGTGCTGGAGGGGGTCACACCTGAGCACACCAGGAAACCCCCAGTGACGGGAGAAAGGCTCAGCAGGGCTGGCCCCAAGGCCGAACACGAGACCCCTCTTACCTCTTCGTTCTCTATCTTGAGGGTGGCCAGTCGTGACTGCAGCTGGTGGTACCTCATCAGCAGCTCAGTCTGCACAGGCTGCTGGGCGCTCACCTGACACACCTGACACAGGAGACATTCCGTGGGTCACGTGCACCACACACACATTTCCATGCCCACACAATTCCCTCCAGCCCCTACAAGCTCCTGGCAGCCTCCATGCAGGCTGCATCGCCCCGTTTTCCATCAGCAGTGCCCTGGACCTGGGCCAGCACTGAGCATTTTCTACCCCTCACTCTGCCATCTCCCAATTACAGCAGGTAAATCAAAGCTCCACTGTACAGATCTGAGGGGCAGACAGAGCCGAACTACAGCCTCCCTAATTGGGAGAGACATGAGCAAGAGGCAGCCTGAAAGGAGAAGCCCTAATGAGCCAAGAGTCTCATTAGGAAAAGAAACACGAACAGCAGTGTGTGAAGGCAGCACGGAGGGATAAGAGTCCAGAACAATTTCACAGTGATAGCTCAGAGGGGAGGCCAGGCCAGGCCCCTCTGCAGCCCCACAGGTGAGCACCTTACCTCGTCCCCCATGTGCGGCTGGAACTCGAACTTGAGCGGCGGGCAGAAGACCTGGTTGCACATGTCCATGATGGTGTGCTTGTCGCTCCGTGCGTCCAGGTTGTCCACGGCGTTCTCAATGATGTCCAGGCCCTCGTGGCGGGAGGTTTCCAGGTTGTACTCGGCAGACAGGTACGTCCTGAAGGTCCGAGCAAGGCTGGCGTGGAATCCCAAATCACAGCACTGAGAAACATCAAGGGAAGGTCTGGTCACACAAACACTCCTAAACCATTTCCCAAAGTTCTCAAACACAGAGGGCTGTTGAAGCAAAGTGGTACTGACCACTGTGCCCTGCAGTGTGTGCACAGCCTGCTCCCTCCCTGGGCAGCTGCCTGCCTCCCACCACGGAGCAGCTCCTCATGCATAACTGATCACTCTCATGTCTACCTTGGGGAAAATGATAAAACTCAGAGCTAATTGCTGCCAAAATACTGTACCTTAGACAAAAGCCTCACTTTAAAACCTCTCCTCCCTGTAACTGAGTCTGGCATGTTAAATGTCATATCAGCACAGGGATTTGCTGCTCTGAACGCTCCATCAGAGCTGAGTGAGAAGCAGCTCCTGGCAGCCCTGCTCCGGTCCCCTCCGGAGCCTGACCCAGGGCAGGGCTCTGCAGGGCTCCAGACCCCCCAGCAGCGAGCAGGTAACCCTGGGAGGGGGCAAGGACAGCACTGAAGCACCACTCAAAATTTGGAGGTCAACAGATATTGTTCTGCAGGGAAAGGTGAGACAGAGGACGCTGGAAGCAGGAGGAGCGAAACAACAGCGCCTCAGCCTGAGCCACGCTCGCTGGGCTGGAAGGAGAGCACAGTAAAACAGAAAGGCTGCAGTCCAAAACTGAAGCACATGTATTTCTGGGACATAAGAGAGTGCTGTAGCTCCTGACAGAGGATGTAAAGTCACATAATTACTGCAGAAACAGAGGGGCCCTGTGAGAAACACCTCGAATACCTCCCACGGCCACAGCACCGAACTAACCACTGCCAGCAAAGCACTCCTATCACATGAAAACTGCCACAGGACAACTTCTTTTGCAGAAGTTAAGCTGCTTCGCTGCCACACAGTGTAGTCCCACCACAAGCACTGCTGGGAGGACCAGCACGGCACAAAAGCTACAGGAAAGAGCAGAAGGACCGTGGTGCAATCTCAATGACCCAAATGAGCACAACTTTTCTGCACAACTCCCTGTTGGGAGCTGCCGTTTCAAAGGCACTTTCTCCAGCTCTGCAGCATCCATAGGCACTACTGAACCAATGCAGAAAGGCACAGAAAGTGATTCTGCATCAGAACATCAGCATTCACAGAATCACAGAGTCACTGCGGTTGGAAAACACCTCCAAGATGATCAAGTCCAACCTTTGATTGATCAACACCTTCAACCAGACCAGAGCACTGAGTCCAGTCTTTTACACTTCCAGGGATGGTGACTCCACCACCTCCCTGGGCAGCCTGTTCCAACGTCTGACAACCCTTTCCATGGAGACTTGAAGTGAAATCTGAAAACTCAGCTGGTGCCACAAGCAGCTCCAACCCAAGAAGCGTCTTGTGCTCTGTGCTGATGTGAGGAGACACCGCTCAGCTCGGATCACGTCAGAGCAGGGCTGTATTTGGTTCGGTCTCTGCTAAAAGCAGCATCAGCAAAGCCAGAGGGGGCTGATTCCCGATTCTCCCCACAGGTACCCGAGCAAACACCCCTGTCCCCTTCTAGTCTTTAAAAGCTGTGAACCCCCCTGTGCAATAATGAGGAGTTTTGTAGAAACTACCAAATTGTCATAACCCTCCACTTCTCCTGCTTCTATTTAGCCTCTAATCCTATTAGCTGAGAGCATAGGCAGTCACGGACTGGCACAGCCCTGCCTTAAAAAAAATAACAAACAACACAAAAAGGAGGAAAAGGCAAATTTCCATTCACCACTTGGGGCAAAACCTCATCCTGTGCTGTGAGTCTCTCCCACAAGACAGTTTTAGCATGAACACCCATACAGTTGTTCTACAGAAACCCTGGAGTCAGGACGATGCAGCCCAGGGGCTGCCAGGCAGACAGGGCAGGGACCAGGGCCAGGACCCCCAAGCCAGCACCGGGGGAGGACCAGCTCTCCTGCCACGACCAGCTGACCACAGTCCTGTGCCCTGGGAATGGGACCACGTGGGTTTCCCAGCACCTCACAGACCTCACCAGGGTTCTTCCAATCCCTGAAATCACAGCTACTTGGCTACAGAAAACAGTGCCAGGAGAAAATAGTGCCACTGTTTGAAGGTAGGAGCTCCCAAAGCACACAAAACGGATCCATTACAAAGGTAAATCACCAGATGCCACAGAACCTGAGGAGAGGGGCTCAGGGCATTGATAGATGCTTTTGGGAAAAATTCCATGAGAAATCTTCCCTTTCCTTTGCTGCTGGACTCTCACTGAAGCCAGTGGTGATTTGCCCTGCCCAGAAATGAGCTGCTCCTGAAAAGCAGGGCAGGCACTTCCTGCACACACCACAGCCCTTGAAGTCCCTGGTGATCAGCACCGTGCTGGCTGCTTCACACCCGGGTGCCCAGAGAAGAAAAGACAGAGCAGAGACTTCCACGCAATTCCCAGAGGAACACACAATGGGGAGGGCAGAAGAAAAAGAAAAAGACTTCAAACTGCAGCTCCCAGCCCCAGAACAAATGGCATTTTCTCAGCCCTCTCATCCCTTTGATGGCAAATAAATTAGAACCACAAATAATAATCCCCAGCCCTCCTGCAGCGCCTTTCATCTGCCGAGCTCAGAGCTCCCCAAGCATTAATTCATCACGTCTGGTAACACCCTGTGAGGGGTGGAAATATCCCAGTGTTCCACTTGAAAAACAAACTGGCTCCTGGAGCTCAGGCAAGCTGGGTTTGGCCAAAACACCGCAAAAGCAGCCAAATACAAGTGTGCCTCCCAGTGCCCACCACAGAGCTGCACTGGGGGGCACTTCTGGGCTCTGGGGAGAAGGAAATGCTTTCCCAGCCACTGATCCTTCTGCCTCATTTCCTCATGGGTTACACAGTGGTCTGTGGTTCCAGAACCTTCGAGTCCCTCTGTTATTTGGGAGGTTGAACTTGTACACAACACAGCTCAGCCAGGCCCACGCTGAAGCCACCAGCACCAGTGCACCTCACCTGAGAAGTGGCCAGCCCAGAGTAACCCCTGAACACCCACAGGTGCCTGTCAGTGACCACTTCACTCCCAGGCAGAGCAGTAATGCCTCTGCCTCTACAGGACCCAGCACTACTTGCAAACAAACAGCCCTACTCATTTGCTCTGCTCCTTCTTTTCCACATTTTTCTTTATTTAAAAAATATTCTGCATAATTTTTAAATTATTAATTATTTAATTACTATATGCATAATACATAATAATTACCACATATTATAATTTCTAGCCTCTACTCTCTTGACGTTGCTGCAAAACCCAGAGCTGTATTGCGAGGCAAGTAAATCACAGAATCCCAGGATGGTTTGAGTTGGGTGAGACCTTAAAGATTATCCAGTTCCACACCCCTGCCATGGGCAGGAACAGCTTCCACCAGCCCAGGTTGCTCCAAGCCCAGTCCAGTAAAGCCAACTGAAGATTTTTGGCATAACTATTTTGACTGATGTTTCTGTTCCCTAACTTGACTCAGCTAATTTTTCCAGGAACCAAACAATTTGGCAGTTATGTGTAACATCAAATTCCTCAGAGTTCCCCTCCTTTCCCTGCTCATTTGTCTCGGATACAGCAAACACTACTCCATAGGGAAGCAAGCTGCTGCTTCCGAGGGACTCAGAGGAGGCTGCACACTTTTTGGCAGATCAGTTTGTATGGCTACTGACTGTTCCCTTCTCTCTGCTCAGTTTGGCGATATCTTTCATGTGACCACTTCAAACTACCTTGCAGCCATTTCCCAGAGAACTCCAGAGGGATGGATAAGCAGCTTTATCTCCACTTCACATACGTGGCCAAAGAGATTAACTTGGTCACACAGTTAACGACAGAAATGAGATGAGCCCAGGCGTTTAAACAGACACACGTGTCGTCCAAAGAAAAAGGCCCCGTGGTGCACTGCCAGTCCAAGGCTAATTTGATCCGTCTCTGTATTCCTTCCTTTCTAAAGGACAAAACAGCCAGGCCACTGGAGACAGAGGCACAGATGGCTCCACACCCCTGCACAGCTCCTCTGATGGGCTTTACAGCTCTCATTAAAACGCAGCCCTGGGAGGCCTCCCACCCTCTCCCAGAGCAGCTGGGACCCTGTGCCTCGCCAGGGCAGGCGATCAGAGCCCAGCTTTGTTACCCTCACTGCTCCGTGGTGACGCCCAGGGCGCAAGCCATGTCAGGGCTGTGCCTCGGAGATGACACTGAGCCAGCGGGGATTTGGGGAAACGCTGCTAAATTGGCTGCTGCAGTGTCCTGACGGGTTGGATTTGCGTGAAATCAGCTGCTGCGCACAGGGATTTGTGCTGCAGATGGAGGGTGTGGCAAGAGCCCCCTCTCCCCTCCCATGTCCAGAAAAAAAGCCTGGTGCATCCTTCACCGTCCCCCAGGGACGCAGGGTGGAGGAGCCAGTGGGATCTCTAACTGCAGTGCAGGGACACCCAGGATCCATCAGGGCACCAGCCAGGCTCCAAGACACCCCAAGCTCTGCTCTCCCATCAAGCCCCTTCTCACCCCCACTCTTCCCACAGACCTGCTCCCTCCGTGGGCTCAGCTGCCCTACATAGATCCCCTTCAGCACTCGCGGGATCTGGGGGCTGAGATCCCATGACTGAGATCCCCTTCTGGAGCTGCTGAGGCCCTTCTGGCCACACCCTTGCAAAATACACTGAATTTGTACAAGAGCCTGTTCAGATACACTGCTCTTCCTCTGGGGATTTAGAACCAGGACACCCACGTGCAGCTCACACATCCAGTATTTCGCTTCTTCAGTGAACAGAATTTACAACCTGGGGAATTTCCCTGCTCCAAGTTGGAGATGCTTTAGCAGAAGTCCCAAAGGGATTCCTGGAGTGCAAGAGAAAAGCCATCTGCTGACTCCAGTGGAAGTGTCAGCAAGGAAATAAAGTTGGGAGGAATAATATAAACAGCTAAAATGGAACTCAGCAACTCTCCAGGAAATCAGTCTCACAAACTCCATGAAAATAAGTCATTCCTGCTTAAAAACAAATAAGCAAGAGAGAATATACACTGCAAAAGCAGAAAGCCCACAGATAAATGAAGACGTTCTCACACGTTCTCATTCAAATGTCTCCACAACCAAGTTACTAGTTCTTTAACATGCCTTAAATAATAAAGAGAACAAAAGGAACATAGTAAGAATATTTTATCATATCTCAAAATCTCGAAGTCATCAAAGGTTTTGCATCAGACTTAATTAATTCTCCAAAGAGTTAACTACATGTTAGTGGGTTAAGAAAGGAGATAAAAACTCCAGCACCTTTTTAAATTGTACCTTTAGGTAATGATGGTAACTCAGTGCTTAGAGCTGTTATTTATGTGCTCACTGAGGCAGGAAGAAACTGCATCGAGCAATCTACATGCTGTGGGATGCCCGTTAAAGGAAGAAACCAGAATCTCTTCTCTGGGTAAATCCCTTATTTGAATCACCTCAAAGCGTTTGTAGGAGTCACCAACACACACACATTCACTTCTGGCCATCCCCATGAAACCTGTCTTCAGCAGTTCCTGCCCTGAGGCTCTTCCCTGCAAGGAGCGCTGGGATAAAGCTGGGATAAAGCTCTCAAGGTACCTTCCCCAGCCAGGACAGCACTGCTACATCTACTGAACTGCCCCCAAAGTTACCAAGTAGTAGAAAGAAAAAACCTTCTGTTTCAGCACCAAAACCAAGGCTGTCTGACCTTGGCAAGTGTTCCTGCCTCAAACACAGACTCACCGATGGGCTCATGTGGCTCATCCCACAACAAATCCGAGTCACAGCACACCTCCAGCCCCCAGTAGGTGCATTTTAAAGACCCCCCAACACCTCCTCATCGCAGTTAAGGGCCCAGCCACGCTGGGGGGGCACAGGGGAGGGAGCACTTACGTCGATGAGGTCAGACACATCGTGGATGTAGTACTTGCTGACGGCCGCGTTGGTGGCCGCCAGGTTCAGCAGGTAGTCGTTCCTGGCTTTAGTACACTTCAGCTTGTTTTCTGAATACTTGGCTTGTCTCTGGAAAAACAGAGCAGAGTCAGAGCACAAACAGGATGGTACTGGCACAGCTTTTCCTGCCATGGGGCCCCACAGCACCCTGCAGACAGGGTGTGATGAGGGAATTAATGAAATTTGGTATCTGGTACAAAACAGGGACCTTGCCAGGGTAGAGAAGATCCCACGTGAACGTCCCCAGCACCGCCAATCAGCTACGAAAAGTGTGTCCTGCTCAGAGGTACCTGGAGCCCCCCGAGCACAGCAGCTGCTGCTGCTCCTTCAGCTGCACATTTGTGGGGGTTTTGGCATCAATCAAAATCAGAGGGACATATTTTCCCTGCAGAAATACTGACATATGTTTGGACTTGCTCCAGATGTGTGCAGCTGTATCAAAGTGGAATCTGGCCTAGAGGCCCAAGCAACACAGTTTAGAACAGGACCCAGAATTCAAAACTCTGTAGGAAAGCAGATGTGCTCCAGATCCGGGACATCTGTCGAGGCAGATCCCTGCTCCAAAGGTTGAGTCTAAAGATTAACCCTTCCAAGAACCTCACTGCTACAAATGTCCCAGGGCAGGGTCAGCCTGTGAGCAAATGTGGCATGGCTGGGAAAGCTACTGCTTTTTCTGCAAAATTAACACAAAAACTGCAGTGGTGGAGATCCTGAGGCTGGGGAGATTTGCTGAGGCTGGAATGGTGTGAAGTGTTTTGCCTAGTAAAGCCATCTAAATCCTGCACTCTCCCTCCCAGACAGGCCGTGGAGGCAGAACACTGGTATTTTACAGATCAACCCTTGTTTTGCTGTCAGGAGTCTGTGACTGAGGGAACACTGGGGCTGCTGTTCATTTTTAAAAGCACTTTTTTAAAAGAATCGATCATGGACAAACCCAAACTCCTCAGAGCAGGGTCCAGTGCCTGGATCAGGATGCATTACCGTGCCAAGCTGGACAGCCCAAGGCACTGCCCTCCTCAGTGCAGCCTCCAGGGTTCCCAGCTGGCACAGTCAAGCCGCCAGCAAGCCCCAGCTCAAGAGCTGGAGGAGGAGCTGCTCCCATGACCCCTCGCTGCCCTGTGCTCCATGAGCTATCGCCCCTGAGGCCCCTCCAGCCCCCAATGTCAGCCCTCCCTACAGGGAGCCAGCCAGGAAGGTGTCACAGGTGGCCACGTGGCTCCCGTGTAGGTCCCCCAACCCCCTCCAATGCTGCACTGCCTGGTGTCCCTTGTCCTTGTGCCAGCCTAACTTTGGGTCAAATCTTCAGCAGGAGCTGTTCCTGGCACTTCTCCATGGTCAGGGAAGAGACTCCTGATGGCCTCCTTGGGGTGCCCTTCAGCAGAACACGCACATGAGCCAACACCCTCCCTCATCCCTTCCCATGGACTCAGTAACGGCTGCATGGACACGGACAGGGCTGGAGCCAACACCCTGCCCACAGAGAGCCCCAATCCCAGCCAGGCTTCCCCACTCCTCCTCTCTCACCCACCTTCTCTTTCATCTTCTCAATCTTCTTGACAGAGCTGCGCCGCTGGGGCCGGTCCTCGTGCCGCAGCAGGTTCACGCTGATGTCCCCTGACTTGTTGAACTGCTTTTCCTCCTGTTTCTCTGCCTCCTTCAGCTTGCTCTCGGCGCTGATGCTCTCTGCGTGGTACATGTGGTAGGTCTTCATCACCTGCAGACACAGCAGGGTATGAGCCACCTGCCCACGGCCACAGGAGCACCAGAGCAGGGGAACCCACAGCCACGGGCAGCGCAGAGGGGCTCTGGAGGCCACTGTGGCATTACAGAGCAAGATGGGGAGGAAAAGCCTGTGAGATTAACCCCATCCCCAGCTCTACTTTCAATGGCTCCAGGTTGGTGTAAGAACCACGATCCAGCTCGGTCCTGCTGTGGGGACAGGCTGAGACATGCCCCCAGCACACACCTGCAGTCAAAGAGCACCGTGTCTGCCAACAGGGAAACAAGGAATAACCTCCAGTGCTTTGCAGCTGGGATAAGGGTCTCCACAAGAAGTGACTGTGAGGAGGCCACAGTCACCCCAAACTCCCTTTTAACCCAACATATCTGTTCCTACACTTGCAAAGACATGACACAGCCCCTGCTCCACCACCCTGACAGCAGGACCATCCAGAAGTGGAGGAGCTGCAATTCCCAAACAAAAATGGGGTTTGTCTCCTGTCACCATCTCATCCTCCTCTTGCTGCCGCCAGCAGGCACAGCACCAGTGGGTGCAGCAGCACTGTGTCCTTCCCATTCCAGATCCACTGCCAGGAACACTCTGCAGGTACACCCTTCCACAACTTCCACCCTTCCAGCTTTCCCTTTCAGATGCAAGGGCCCAAGGGGCACACTAGGATCATTTTAATGAAGCTGGCAAGAGGAACCCAACTGCTACTCTCTCTTTATACCTTTAGTCACACCGTCCCCTTCTGTTGTCTCCCTCTGGGATGTGGATGGTTTATTTCACACTGCCTTGACACAGCCTCCAGGGATCAGCCTCAGCAGGGCTGGGCACTGTGGACTGGGACTCACTGGGACGCCCCGGGATGGGCTGGGACGCCCCGGGATGGGCTGCCTGAGGCTCACGGGTTAAGACGGAGCAGGAACCACAAAAGCAGAGTAATTTTACACAACACTTAATGAAGAAAACACAGCAGGACCCAGGAGTGTTTGACTTGGCCCAGGTCAGGCTGAGCCGCATGATCCCTCCTCCTGCCAAGCACAAACCTCAGCTGAAATGGGCTCCAAATGCCACATCGGAGCCGCACAAAATGTGCCACCACGGGGAGATGACTGCAGCCAACGGCAAGGGACAGTGAGCAAAGGCTCCTGCCTTGGCCCTGAGCTACTTCATTGCAAAACCCTGCAAATTATAATGCACATTCCAGCCGTGTATTGCAAACTGCAGTTTCTGCAGCAAACCTCATAGGACACACGTAAACCAGCCAATTCCTGGGATTTTCCCAAGGAGAACAACCAGAGGGCTTCACTGAGCCCTCCTTATCCTCACCATCTCCATCTTTTCATAAAGCACTTATAGGAAAGTGAAAAAACAAAATGCTGCCCATCAGGCATGTGTTACTGCATCAGGCAGTAACGGGAGAGGTTTCTGCAGCACCCAGAGAGGCCCAGACACAACAGGACAGAGAAGCCCAGTGAATAACAAGGATCCAAATTGCAGGGCTCTTGTAAAACCTGAAGGTTATGGGACTGATACTCAACCAAAACAGATGCCTTAAACAGCTCACTGTGCACTTCACCAGCTGCCCTGCCACACAGCTCACGCTTGGAAATTCGGGGGATATTTTTGTGTAATATGTGGCTTGATTTTGGCTAGGGCCAACCTGCACTGCAGCAACGAGCCCCAATCCGCAATTCCCTCGTGCCATCTCGGTGCCTGCAATCGAGTCACGCTGTCCCTGGCTTGCACTGCTGTGTCACAAAGACAAACTGCCACAGCTGCGTCCCGGAAAGCTTTCCTGCAAATCAGTTAATTAGCTGCAGTGGAGGAGGAAAAATATGTTCCAATGTTCATTAGTTATTTAACAACACGAGTTGTGTTTTCCATATTAATTACACGTTCTGGATAAAGGCTGTTGCCAAAATAGAGGCCATAAATGGCACTGTTGGCTGTATTCAGCTACAAGGGCTTTGTCCTTCTGAACAGCTCATCCCCAAGGGTCCGACCCAGCAAAGAAGTCAGAGCAGAAACAGGGTGACTGTGTCAGGCACAGGCTCAGGCCCAGGAACATCCAGCCTTTACAGGCTCCAACTTGGTACCTGTCTGCTGCAGTCTGTAAGCAGGAACCAAAAGGATGAAGCTGGTTTTAAATCACAGGTGAACTGTTCCTGTACAAAACCCTTCACAAGCATCTCCAGAACAAAAGTAATCCACTTCCTTTTTGACTGAAGTCAGCATGGGTTGGGTTTGGTTCTTTTCATACAGAGTCCACAGGGTGACTTGCACCAGAACAGCAACAAGGCTGAGTTAAAATCCATTTGGTTGCTTTGGTTTAAGTTTGAAACACTGAATGCCTGAGAAGCCTGTAAAAAATTATAGTTTCTGCCCAGTGCACAGAGTTCCCCTCAGAGAGGCCTAAAAAGCTGCTGGGCCAGGGCACAGATGTGCTGCAGTTAAAGACCTGGCCAGAGACAAGAGAAGTGACTCCCCTGTGCTGGGAGCAGACAAGTGACATTTCTCAAGCAGCATCCTGGCGTCCTGTGAGCCGGGTCCTTATCCTGTGTCTGGTTTCATCAGCAGTCACAGTTCTCGTGGGCACCCAACATGCTGCACCGACAGCAGCTCAGTCCCACAGGTGTCCTCAGCCACCCCCAGCACCCTGAGCCAGGGCTGCAGCCAGGCCTGTTTCACCTGGTAGCTCAAGGACAGATCTCTCTGACCAGCACTAACCAGATTTGAGGTGACCTTGTTTGCCCTACAGGCCCTGATTTTTCTTCATGTTTCATCATCATTTCTGAAGTGTGTCCCTTTCCTGCTCCTTCCCAGCTGGATAACACAATTGGATTGTTATCTTAGCAGCAAGCAAACACAAAGTTCCTCCAGCTGATCCAGTTTCACCATTCAAATCAGTGTGTTTCACCATTCAAGCCCATTCTGCTCAGCACATGAAGCAAAGCAGTGAATGGGGGAAATCTCAGTTCCTGTGAGGACAAGTTTAGCCCCAGACTCAGCAGGAGCACAATTTCCCTTTCTGCTCTCCTTGAGTGCTGCTCACACTTTGGATCTCAGCACACTGACCCCCCTGCTGACCCCAGCATGTCCCTCAGGTGATGCCCCTGTCCTGGGTCCAGGTTCAGAGCACACAGGCCTGCAGGTATTAAGGTCAGCCCAGCTCTTGTTAGTCTTTCCTTGTTTTGCATCTGTCAAGATGCTGTTGTAATTGATCTTAATTAGTCACCACCCCTTGAGCTTGTGACACTCAACCATCAACAATGCACTCCCAAATCTCACACAGGCTTTTAATCCGATCTGCTGTCCACCCACACTGCAGGGCTCACAACAACCAAATCCTTCAACAGCCACTGCAAGAACAAGCCTGTTAAGAGAAGATTTATGGCAGAAATTTCAAATACGATCCTTCATGCTCTGTTGTTTAGGCCTGTTTTTCAAAAAGATGGAATGGAATGATTGTTTAGAAATAAACCTGTTGCAGTGTTATTTATATACCAGCAACAGATACAACCAAAGAAAGCAAATACATTGTCTCAGTTTCCCAATACAAGACAGACTTTACATTGCTTTGTTGCTTCTAAACCACAAGTAAAATAATTTTTTTTTTAAAAAAGCAATTGTTACAAGGCAAGAGACAGAAGCAACACAAAGAATTTTACTTGCTATGAAAACTTTACTTGCTATGTCTTGCTATGGAAACCTGCTTTTGAAGAGCCAACTCCTGACTAACAGTGCATGATCTCACCAGGAGGCACAGACAGCTCCACAGCCAAAGTGCTCCTCAGAGCAGGAGATGGAGCTGAGCACCCACGAGCTAAACACTTTCTGCCTTCCCCAGCAGAAGGTCGTGTTCATCCATTGCCCCCCAGGCCATGGGCTCACAGGAGCAGGGCAGGTGTCAGCCCCAAACAAGCACGGCCAGCTCAGAGCCACCGGTGCCTGGAAATCACCAACCAAGGGGCTGAGAGGGACCCAAAGGCACGGCGGTGCAGGAGCCACAGCAGGGGAGAGAGTTACAGACACCGGATCACACCAGATCCCGCCCACACATGCCTGGGTGTGCTGAAGGGAAGCAGCCCTTCCCACCGGAGCGCTGGGAAACGCTCCACATGGAACGGCCGTGCCGCAGGACGGCCGGGGCAGAGCCCCTCGAGCCCCCCCGAAGCTGGACACACGCTCTGCTCCAACGAGTGACACTCCCCGCACTGCCGGCCACGGCAGAGCCCCCTGAGCCTCCCCCCGAGGCTGGGCACACGCTCTGCTCCAAGGAGCAGTGCTCCCCACACTGCCAGCCACAGCAGAGTCCCCTGAGCCCCCCCCCGAGGCTGGGCACACGCTCTGCTCCAAGGAGCAGCACCCCCCGCACTGCCAGCCATGGCAGAGTCCCCTGAGCCCCCCCGAGGCTGGGCACACGCTCTGCTCCAAGGAGCAGCACCCCCCGCACTGCCGGTCACGCGCGGGGCACCGGTCACTGCTCACCGTGTACAGCTCGTTGGTCACTTTCAGGAGCTCTTCGTGCATCTGCAGGCCAATCTCCTTACTCTGCAAGACAAAAATGAAGAAGCATTGAGACTCTGTTCTGCCCAAAACATGCAGTTCTGAAAGGAGAAGATACTCTGGAGGGATTGTAACTGTGAACACACAGCAAAGCCTTGCTTTCAGAACTGCTGCGTTTTCATCTGAGGTCGATGTTTGTCCATGGATCACCCAACCTGGGTTTCAGAGACCACAAGGAAGAACATCAATCAATTTAACTTACTTATCCTGCAAAAGGGATGAATCTAAAATTACAGGCAATACTGCTTTGTCCTTCCACTGGCAGAATTTATCTCCAGCCTACAGACAACTCCCCCTGTGGGTCTAACATGTGACACCCTCCCCTAGGTTTGGGTCTGGCAGAGTGCACAGAGCTGGGCCCGCTCCACAGCCAGGGTGTTTTAGAGCTTGACTCTGCCTATTTTTCAACAAAACCTGCCTTAGTGCGTGGCTGCTGCATTCTCTAACCAAGCAGGCTGTGTGTTAGTGCTGTGTGAACTCCCCTGTATAACTTACATCATCCAATAACCATCTGTGGGTACACAGATCCCTTAGATTGTCTTTCTTCAGTCCCACAGAATCACCTGTCAACCTGTCTTGATCTGACACACTCGTTAAACACACCTGCTGTTGGACCTGCAATACACTGGTATTTCAGAATGAGGATTATCGGGGTCCCCAGCCCCAGCATCCCAGATTTTAGATGTTCCTTGGCCATGACTCACCCTCCCCAACCCTGTCCTCAGCAGATCATTTTCACTATTCTGACCTGAGTGAATGAAAGTATCTCTGAAAAGGGACATTTTATTACAAAATAGCTACACTACAGTTATATAATAAAGTTTCCAGTTTCACAGCTGCAGCAGCCAAAGTTCAACCAGCTGAGGAGATGCTTACTGCCAGTGAGTAACCCCTGGCATCCTTCTGTCTGCTGAAATCCTATTAGCAGTCTGTGTTTTCCCTTTCCTTGCCAGGCAGGATGAAGCAGATCCAGCCATCAACCTCCCAAAGCATGGACATGGCACTTCACAGAGAGGCCACAGCGTGGGGAGCTGCCCAGCATTGGAGCCTGGCTGCAGATCAAGACAACTCCTACCACACCCCAGCATCTGGAGCCACTGGGGATGTGCTTGCACTGCTTTCCTGCCTCCCTGTAATTACACCCCAAATCTCTACATGGCATCCTCTAGGCTAGGGAACACTTATTATAGCTTGAAGATGTGTTTAAACTAAGTATAGACACTTCCCTCCTCCCTCCCTAAAACAACACCAAACCAAACCCAAGCAGTTTCTTTCAGATTTCCTCAAATAACTCCAGACAGTTTTGAGCACACAGGAAGGGAAAACAACATCCCATCATGCTGGGTGGTGAGAGAGGCCCACAACACAGAGAGGTCCTCTAACTTCAGCCAACGGGACAACCCACCTACTTGTGAAGTTTAACCTTAGATTATTAAAAGTTGGAATCAAAGCAAAGCCTGAAGTAAAGAATCTAAAGAGTCAAAGTCCCTTGGATCTGTGACCATCCAGTAACCACAGTGTATCCATGAGTGAGCACTGGGGTATCTGGGACAGTCCCATCCTCAGTCCCACGCCACTGCTCCCACTGCCATGGGGTGCCAGGACGATGCCAGGGACCAGGAGGTGCTCAGTGCCCACAGCCATCTGGAACCCTCATCTGTACTGGAACCTCATCCAGACTGAACCTCAGTCCCCATCTCGTACTCACTGACACCGGTGGTCACAGGTGCTCTCAGAAGTCTCACTGAGGCTTGCTAATACCAACAGAGCTACGACAGATCTGCATCCCCCCAGACACAGCACAAACATGTCTGGGGACCTTCTCGCTCAGCCCTGGCACAGCTGCCCAGGGCAGTGGTGGAGTTACCATTCCTGGAGGGATGTAAAAGCCACAGGGACGTGGGTCAATGGTGGGCTGGGCAGTGCTGGGGGAACAGTTGGACTTGATGGTCTCAGAGGGCTTTTCCAACCTAAGTGATTCTGTGATTCCAATACAAGTTATTTCAGTCAGGGTCTACAAACAGGGGTCTCAGAGCCCAGAGCCTGCAGGAGCTGAGTCACACATAGCCCCTCCAGACATTCCTGCTTCCACGAGTCACAGCCCAGTCCCCAAACCAAGGCTTCCCAAAGCCAGTAGAGGAGGACAGGATGAGTTGGTGGCAGGAGCCATGGCCCAGGCTCAGCTGCAGTTCCTGCCTATGTCCTGGATTTCCAGCATGGTGCATGGCAAGGCCACAAAGCTGCAATTTTCAAACCTAATTTTAGACTCCAAAATAGAGCAACACAAACTGGCTCAGTGTGTCATTCCGTGAGCCACACTGACATGGGGGACCACTGGTAGGGACCATGTTTAAAGAGCCATTTGCTTATAGACACTATAGACACTAGAATCCTGCTGCAGGAGACCAAAGGGTCTCTGGCATTGTCGGGTGTCTTCCAGCATCCAAGAGCACCATCCAGCCTGGGGATGCTGGAGCCTCTTCCAACTGCGGCCAGGAGAGCAGCTGAGGAACTCACCACTTCTCTGAGCCTGCTGCCTCCCCTTTCTCTAAGGGAGAAATCACACCAAAACGTCATTCCCGTTCCCTGGGACCATCTGCAAAAACCAAACTCCAATTTAGCTGCTTCCTTTATGCTTCCAGTTCCTCCGAAAACACAGCTCCTCACTGGGACAGCAATGGCTTCAGGTTAGCAGCTTATTAAAATTCCTGCCCCTGCCAACAAAGTAGCAGGAAGCAGCAGCACAGATGACTGGCAGTGGAGAATGCTTATTCTACAGACAAAGACAAGAGTTCCCATGCAGATAGACAGCACTGCTTCACCCAATGTCCATCCAGGACACCACAGCATGGAATTGAATTTACTGTCACAACAAGGAATTAAATCCCACACTGGGGAATGCAGCATCGTTACTTCGGACATAGTGATGCTCTGTCTCAAATCTACAATTTCCTGTATTCTGTACTTGGAAGAAGCTTCAAACTTCCCTCCTTCGACCACAGCAGGAGGTAAGAGGGGAGAAAACACCTGCCTGGCCACGGGTCCCTCCGCCTGGGTTTGGCTCTACCAGGAGGACACGCTGTGAGATTTTGTGGGACAGAGACTCACCCTGACAGCAGATCTGCAGAGCCAGATCTCCACAGGGACACATCTCAGCATCCCCATTTATCCCTGCCTATTAGCAACATCAACACACTCGCCTTGATCTCCTCCTCCTGCACCAGGAACGTGACTAGCACTGGAAGCTCCAGGGAAACCTGCCCAATTGAGTTTTCCTCCTCTGCTTTCCTCCCAGGTGGTTTGGGCTGGAAGGGTTCCTGGCTAGCCGCAGTGAGAGGTGTGTCAGAGCCCAATGCCAGGACTGTCAGCTGAGGGGCAGGACACTTGGGTGAAGAGGAACAAACTGCAGTGTCCCAATTTACTGATGGTCGACCCCCCCAGCTCAACCAGGGCAGCCGAGGGAGCAGCAGCTCAGCACCCTGCATCTTTCTTGGCACACTGCCATGGCACTGAGCAATTGCTCCTCAGTTATGCTCACCCTGTACCTCACCAATCCCTCCCTGCTGCTCTGCTGGATTGTTTACATTTACATAATGAATGCAGGAAACACAAAACCTCCCAGTTCCTCGTGTCCCCACAGCATGTCACAGCCCGTTAATAAACTCTAGGTGGGGGAATTAAAAGTGACATCTCTGGAAAAAAATGTTACCCTAATTTACCATCAAAGAAAAATCTCCAGCACGCCCAGCAGCTGAACCACAACTGTGGGTGCTTTAACCCTTCCTGAGCCAGCGGCCCTGTCAGCAGGAGCGCTGAGTACACCCAGGACCAGAGAGAACAGGGAAAGATTCCCTCCTCTGAGCAACCTCGTACACTGCAAGGCTGGATGGATGTCTTCAGAATTCATTTACCAGGATGCTCCTATTCCCACACACATGCCCAAGGTGCCCCACCAAACACTACTGGGAAGTGGGATCCAGATCCCTCCAGGCAAGGCGTGCCATAGGGTGAGAAAAATAAACAGCCAAAAGTGGCAGCCTCTCCACCCACATGAAAGGCAAATGATGACACAAAAGAAGCCTTTTCCCTGATTTAGTTGAGCATTATTTCCAGGGACAGATGAGTCCAAGGGTCAAATGTGGTGAAATCAGAGATCCCCAAAACTGTAAAGGCTCCTTTAGATGCAGAGTTGGTGCTGGCTCTGGCAGGCTGTGGATGGAGTCCCACCAGCTCCCCCATTAGGAGATGGAGGAGGGAGAAACAAGGAGCAACCATTTCTATAGGATGAAAGTGTTGAGCCTTAAAAGCTGAAATTTAAGTTCAAAAATGAGGAGGGAGAGATGGAGGAAAACCAAACACAAAGAAATAATTCTGCTGAATGGGTAAAATATTTCATCATCTTGTCCTGGCTGAGGATTGACCTACTATAAGAGAACACTCTGAACACTCCATGGATGTCCTTGTTTGAATGCTGACTGGATTTGTCCTGTAGTTCCACATGACACACCATCTACACACATGGGCAGAAGGATAGCCTTAACATACATCTCAAAAACAGGTTCAGAGTAAAATGTAAATGGCAGGAAGATTATGAGACAGGCTTAGAACTGAACTAACCAATATATCCCAAACCTCTCAAATTTCTAGAGGCCTGAAGGACAGGAAAAGGGATGATGTCCCACACCAGATCAGCAAACCCAAGCCTGACCTTGCAGTTTAATTTCTAGGTCAGATCTATAAAATAGAGGAAACTGGCCATAAAAATATCACATGAAATTTACTCTCCAGTCAAGCTGAAATTTCAAGATAAGCCCTGATTATGAGCCTTGTCCTGCTGGAGAGCCCTGCAGGCTTGCCCTGCTCCCTGACTCAGATGTCCTGTTGACAACAAGGGACAAAATTAAGGAAAACCTTAGAGTCACAGAGCCAACCCACTGCTGGGACTCTTCATGTCCTTACCACATTCCCCCTCGCTTTTAGTGAAGAGTCGTGGTCCCCCTGACTGTGAGATTCCCACAACTATATGATGCTTCTTTTTATTTGGTTATTATTAATAATTCTGTATCATCAGGTATCTTACTCTTCACCCTTTTTCCAAATAATTTTTTAGGAACTGCACATTTTCCTTCCTTTTGTTCCCTTTCTTTTAGTCAGTCATTAAGACAGAAAACAACCACTCCTTACTCTTCAACAGCTCTTCAAGAAATTCAGTCTTTCCCACTGAAGGCACTGTGCCAGCTACTGACACAATCCCTGGCTCCTAGAAATACCTCCACCAGATTTCTGAGGCATGACTCTTCCCTTCAGGAAGCCACGCTGACTCCTCTCCTGTAGCTGCCTCATGCCTGTCATCCTGTTCTTTACCAAGCTCCACCCAACAAGCCTGTCCTGATCTGTCCTCTGAAGGCCTCCAAGAGTCTTTAGAAAAAGTCATCACATTTCCCCCTTTCATCTCTCTGGCACCGACACCACTTTGAGCACCAGGTCACACCTCACTGCTTGGCAGTTCTGGATCTCAGTTTCCTTAAAACTCTTGAATAAATATTATCTGGAAAGACTTACAGTGATATTCCTTCAAAAGATTTGCTCTGCAACATCTGTGACGGTTCCACTTTAGATTGAAATGCCAGGATGGACCCTGACTGAGCTGAACTCCCCCAGCTGCCCGGGTTACCTTTTTGAAGAGCCTGATGACATCCTCGCTGATCTGCGACAGCCGCACGATGACGTTGTTCATGAAAATGTCATTCAGGGTGGCGTGGTCTCGGCTCTCCCGCCGGGTCTGCGTCAGGACCAGGTACCAGCAGTTCACAGGGGAAAGGAGATGCTGATCTTTTCTAGGGAATTGGGGAAAAAATGAAAACCAGCAAGTGAACAAGTCAAAAAGGCACATATTTTCAAATGAATGCTGTCAGCACATCACCCCCCTCCCCTGCACACATCCACTGGGACCTGTCATGCCCAGAGAAAGGTGCACGATCTCTTCTTCCAGCTGTCCAAGCACTGCCCTGCAGGAACATCCAGTGGCACACGAGCGCAGGAACCACACCAGACCCCCAGCCAGCCAGCCCCTTCCTGCAGTGGGTGCTCTGGAAGGTGGCACAGGAGAAGAGACATCCCTGGCAAGGGAGAGAGTTTGGCTTTTTCTTTACACTCATGAACATGACTGTCAGTGCACACTGCAGAAGGTCCCGTTTGCCACCCAGTCCAGTGGGCTGCTTTTAGTGCACTGAAAAGCATTCAGGAAAGGGTTCTGCATCCAGTGTTACCCCCAAGCAACTGTGCACAACATGAACACGCTCAGATGTGCTGGAGGGGACAGCACGGTGACTCCAGAACACCTCTGTGTGCATACACAGGCAGAACAACCACATCCAGAAATCTGGATGCACCTGGATGTGAACCTGGAATCACCGGGAGCCGCAGCAATTGCCAGATCCAGGGCTGGCACAGCCCGCTGCACACGGCTACACAGGGACAAAGGAGCACCGAAGGGACCGTAATTCTTAGGAGTGTCACAGCCTCATCAGAATAATGACACACATGAGCAGCTGGGGAAGCAGCACAGATGAGCCTGGTAAGGGCAGGTACAGAGCAGTCTGGAAGAACAAAATGTATTAAGAGAGCCTCTTGACATGGAATGGGCAGTGAGGACTCATCAGGAGCGAGCACTGAAATCCAGCTCACTCGATTAACACCATCACCACCAGCACTTGTGCCCAGATGTTTAATAACAGTGGAGAACCACTGTCACCTGTGGACACCACACAGCAGCAGCTTCCAGAACTGTGAGCACGCCAAGCAATGGAGAGCCTTCACACTGCTCTGAGCTAGTGGGAGAGGCCAGACACCCCCAGAGCCTTTGTGGGCTCATCTCTGAACCACAGCTCCTTCCGGGCCAATTCCTTCCCCAGGACAGTTATCCCTGATGCAAAACACCGCAGCAGCCAGCCCCACACAACTGACACACAACACTGGATGTCAAAAGGACAGTGAGGATCTGAATGGCAACTCAGCAGCAGCAGAGTTTGGCATAAGAAACCAGCAAAGCCCCACTCATTGGAGAGACCGAGTAAACAGATTAAATGGGATTTAGTAATATAGAATAAATAGGATTAGTAATGTAAGAGCAGAAATCGCTGCTCTTGCTGCCGAAATGGGAAAAGAAATCACAAGGAGTTAAAGGAAGAAACAGACTGCGAAGAGCCCAGGGCTGGCGAGGCGAAGGGCATCAGACAGCCAAACCTTTCCCAGGCTCTCGGGGAAAGGCGCTGAACAGGGGCTGCAGTCTTTGGCCACTGAACTGAATGGCACGAGTTTCATCTGCAGCAAAGGGTACAATTCCAGTTGAGAGATTCTGTCATGAACATTACTGGCAGAAGAAGAGTCAGAGGCCTCGCTGTGGCCCAGGGAGGCAAAGGTGGGGAGCTGGGGCTGACGTGGTGCAGGGGGAGCAGCCAGGACCAGCACCTGGCAGGCACGGACCCTACCAGGTGCATCCCACAGCTCCACGAGTGCTGCCCAGGGAGATCCTGCGCCCCGACAGCACCAGGAGAGGGACACAGCAAACCCTGACAGTCACCAACACCCCGTGTGACCACTGAGCATCATCCAACCCGGCACACTCGGGGACATGCGGGGAGCAGGGACCAGCCCCCCAACAGCACCAGGGCAGTGGCCTTCACCAGAGCCTTGAGGTCACCAGCCAGTGGAACACACCAGCCAGCACCCTCACCACAGAACACTCACCTCCAGAATCAAATTCTGACTCAAGTTTGTTTTGCTTTCTGTTTTTTTCAGATATTTTCTCATTTAGCCAAGTATGGTTAAACTGAAAAGAAGCTGCTTTTGAAAACACATTCACACATCCACAGATTTCACAATTTGCATCATCAGTTTGATTCTCACACGATCCCAGCATCCAGTTCATACTTCCTATTTCAAAGCTTTGTTTCTCAATATTTCCACTAAGGATTTGCCTGGCTCCAACACCGCAGGCTGCATACAGAAAACACACATGCTTCATTGCAAATAAATTGCAGTAAATTCGATTTCCAGAAACTGCTTCCAAGCCTGAGCCTGTCAATGAGAATGAGTGCAACACACAGGTCCCGGAGAGCCGAGGACTGGGCTATGCAGAAACCAGGCGTACAAACCTGGCCCACTGCAACTTGCACAATCAAATGAGTGGATGAATTCAAGCCCCTTCAAAAAAATCAAGGGGTTTGACTCCTTCCTGGCCCAACTGCTATTTTTGCCGCCTTACACAAGAAGGGCACATTAAGTGCAATTCGGGCAGCACAGACCAGTAACGCCGTGGTGGAAGTCTTGGAAAGGGACACGTCCAGTTCTTTCGGTGAGCCCCACACAGGGACAGGACAGATGAGGTCACCGCTGACCTGATGGGCCTTACTCCCCTTTAGGACTGTGCAGCTACAAACCAACCTCCAACGACTGCAGCAGCCTCCAGCCAATCATTTTGTCCCAGTTTGCCCTGGGAACACCTGCTTACTTGAACTGGTGCTCTCTGGAACTGCGGATCTTGGAGGAGAAGCGCTCAGCCAGCTTCTCCAGGCTCCGGGAGTACTCCAGCTCGATCTCGGCCTTCCTGCGGAAGAACTCCTGCAGGTCCTGCAGCAGCTGCAGGCGCGACTCCGACTGCTGCTCCAGGCATTTGAACTGCTCCACCAGCTGCGTTCGGATCTCTGCAGGCACACAGAGAGAACAAAACACAACATCAGCAGCAGACACTGGCCAGGAGGGCTGCCCTCCCAGAGCAAATGGCACAGCTCTGCTGGAGCTCCTGAGCCCTGGGGTGAATTCAGGGTTTGCTAAAGGCAACAGAGCTTCTTGCCAAGCAAGAGCTGAACAATTCCATTGACCAGCCTCATATTAAACCTTGTTCTTGTCAAAACAAACAGCTGTGTAAGAGCACCAAGAGCAACTTCAGAGCTTTCAATTGCCTTTTGAATCCAGCAAATGATACTTCAATCCATCTGGTACTATCTGAAATCCCGTACTCTTTGCATATGAGCTAATTTATTATTTCTTGATAAATGCCAATGTGAAGACCTACAGGACAGCCAGCACTGACCTAGAGGAAGCAGGCACTGCCATGCACCCTCTTCTCACCCCATCCTCCCAAGTTGCTGGGTTAATCAGTAAATCACACGTGGTTTTGGCTCAAAGGCTTAAAAAGTCTTTTGGACTCTTCAAATCCCAGCTCACAAACACCACAAGCTTCATCTGTTCCAGGTTTATTTCCTTCCCCATAGGGACCTTCAGACACTGGGACAGACACACTGCAGCCCCCATGACCTTTCCCAAAGTGGGCTCAGCAGTGTCCAGAGGTGCCGGTGTGGGAATGGGCTCCTCGGGCAGCCGGTGTCTCCCAGAGGACCCCAGGTACCCACTGGGGTCCTGCAGGGAACAGGCACCCAGGAGCAGCAAACAGAGCTGGTCTCCAGTGCTGACCCTCACCTGGCCCTGCCAGAACTCACAGCCTTGGGCACAGCTCACTCCTTCTGTTCAGCACATCCCAATCATTGGAACTGTTTAATGTTTCTCCTCTTTCTATGCTGGAGTTGTACTTTTCACCTTGATCCTCCCTATTTTGAGGATGCTTCTCTCCCATGGTCAAAGACCAATTGCACTTCTTCCAGTTCCCTCATATCCTATCACACAGCCAAGCTGCAAATCGCCAGCACAGGGCTGATGTCAGGAAGGGATCTCAGGGCTGATCTCAGGGCTGATGTCAGGAAGACAGGCAGGCACGGGGAAGGGAGCACTGTGCAGGGGCACAGCCAGACCCTTCACCCTGCCCGCAAGAGCAGCAGCACAGCATGGGTGCAATGGAAATACACCTTCCCAACCCTTCCAACTTCGCCCAACCCTTCCCAACCGCAGGCAGGGTTTGTGCAGCTCTCAGATGCGATGTGGCCGGGACGCCTGCGCAGGAGCCACTTGCTCTCCTTGGAGCAGCAGCTGGGCTCTGCCCGGAGGGCTGGGGAGCCCCGTGGGAGGGGCTGTGCAGAGCTGGAAACAGGAGGACAAACCAGACTAGACAGTAGGAAAATCTATTCAAAGTGAGAACAATTGGGCTGAGCTGGCTTCAGGGAGCAGCTGCACAGCGGAGGGATCAGAGGAGTTGGAATTGCAGGGGCCGGTTGATGGAACAGGTCCATATGCTGCCTGCCTGTTCCCAGAGCCCACGAGGAGAGGGGAGTGCAGCCCCACACCCCCCTCTGCCACACCCCCGCAGCAGAGGCTCGCCTTGAGACACTTTGCTTTCTAGAGCTCATCCTTGGCTCCTTCTGCAAATTCAGCACAGTAGGATGACCAACGGTACCTTACCTGCAAGAGCCCCAGCAACTAAAAATACCTGCACCGCCTGAAATGGCTGCCAGGTCACTGGGACACTCAGTGACCCGCATCGAGACAATGCAGAGGTGTCATTGCAGTGCCTGGAACACTCCTCAGTACCCACACATTACACACATGCACACAAGGCAGAGGTGTCATTGCAGTGCCTGGAACGCTCCTCAGTACCCACACATTACACACATGCACACAAGGCAGAGGTGTCATTGCAGTGCCTGGAATGCTCCTCAGTACCCACACATTACACACATGCACACAAGGCAGGCTGGCCTAAAATCAAAACTCTTGGAAATAAGGAATGCTGAAAGCTCAGAAATTCATCACTCACCTTATGTGGGACCCTCCCTGGGCACTTTCTTTATGTTCTTGATACATTATGAGAGGATAGCACAGTTGTTCCTAAAAATGCCTCCGAGGCTCACACCACACAGACATGGCGAGGGACTCGACACATGGCACTTGGCCACCAGCAAAGCCATTTTCTGTTCCCAAAGTCTGCCTGGAGAACCATGTAACCATCCCCGCAGTAGCTAGAGTGCTCCAGATTGTTTCTGACCTGCATCCAGCCCATCTGCAGGCAGGAGGATGCTGACACGGGAGCCAGAAGGGCCAAGGCCCCGAGCAGAAGAGGAAGGGTGAGAAGCAGTGGGGATACTCAGCACAACTGCTGCCTCTGCCCGGCCAGAGCTCCCTGGGGACCCTGCACACAGACATCAGCCCTCGCTCACAGAATGCAGAAACCTCAAAGTTAAGGACAATTTCACTCTACAGGAATACTAGAAAGACCCTTAAAATAAATTAATATGGCTGCTAAAGGAATGGAGAAAAAGAAACTAAATTGTCACTGCAAACAAGGTCTCACAATGACAGGTGACAGATTACCTCAGCTGTTACTCTCTCTGTCCCTGTTTGCTGGGGTCCAGCTCTCTCCATCCCCAGCATACTTTGACCTTCGTCAACAGAATTTCTTTGTTTTCCCCATGCCTGTAACATGTTGTTTTGACACTTTTAAGCCTCCTTGCAGGAGTTCAGCCAGGCCAGTGCCACCCTGGCACGTGGCAGCAAAGGGCAGGCTCTGCAGACGTGGGGAGCTGTGACCCTAAAGCCACCCAGCGATGAGCTGTCACACTAACAGCTGAGATGGACACTGACCCCACGAGCTGCTGCTGCTGAATGGGAAAGGTTTGTGTAGAAAACAAAACGAAGAGCTGCTGACATCATCAATGCAAAGACAGCAGAGAGAAGGACATTGCTCAGTGCTCCAGGGTCCCTGGGAGTCAGCGCTCACAGACACAGCCCCGACAGCACCTGCAGTCGCTTCCCTGCTTCCAGCTCTGCTCTGCTGCCACATTTCATGGCACTCTCCCTTCAGTTAAATGCCTTTTCATAGAACCAGGGACAAACACAGGCAGGTAGCAAAGCCTTTTTCCACTCTTCAAGCCTGCTGCCTAGGGAACAGTAGGAGCACTCTGAGGGCATCCATCTTCCGCCACCTGCTCAGTGGAGCTGGAGACCAGCCCCGTGAGGGAGAGGCACCCATGTGCTGTTTGACCCCAACACCCTCCATCCTCCCCCTCTGCTCACACACCAGGGGTGGAGAGAGCGGGTCCCCAGCAAACCCAAACCCAACACAGCTCTGCTAACGCCCTGTGTGACACCCTACAACCCAAACCGAAACCCACACCCCTTCCCCAGCAATCCCAAACCCAACACAGCTCTGCTAACACCCAGTGCAACACCCCACAACCCAAACCAAAACCCACACCCCTTCCCCAGCAATCTTCTGGTCAGCAGCATCAGCACAAGCTGCATCTTGTCCTGTTCATCGTACAGGGATTCACAGGCCTGGAATTCCAACTTTAAACTGAATGCCATGGAGAATGATCCTGGAGAAAACAAAATTCCTTGACAAAGCAAGGAGCACAGCAATGGTCAAGACAGGCTGCAGGACTGCTAATCCAGAAGAGAGAGGGAACACCTGTAACCAGAACATCTGCCAATTTGCCTGTAATGTTCGTGAATCAATCAGCCCATATCCCAGCCTCCACTGCTCGTTATCCTCAGGCCACGCGAGATGCTGGCAGCAATCACACTTCCAGGCTGCCAAGGTATGGCAAAGCCTCCCACCAGTCAAAGCCCCCAGGAACGCTCCCATCCCTCTGAAACCTGGTGAAAGGCTCCCAAGCACCAGAGGGGACGCAGAAGGAACTGAGTGTGATGGCCAGTCAGCCCCACAACACGGAGCACGGGATAAACCCACTGCAGAACCTCTCCCACCACCAGAAGCCAACCAGTACCTGAGTGTGACAGACCGTGGAGATGAGAGGCATGGTTTGTATTTAGCCTCTGGCAGCTTTGTAAGTGAATGGCAACATTAAAAAAAGTGGAAAAAACCCAACAACAAACCCACAAAAACACCACCCAAAAACTTGCCAGAGTTATTCAAAAGTCAGCTCAGGAAAACAACAGCTGGAAGAATACAGAGATGCTGTCTTTGGGGGAGCAGACCGGAGGACACAGCGATTTACAACTCAAGAAAGAGTATTAGCATAAGATAAATGGATGTAAACTTGACACAAAGGAAATTACATGAGAAACTGGAAAAAAATCGGTAAGATTATGGGTCAGCCCAAGCAGCACATCAACAGCTTGAACGGGCCTTGAGAGGAGATGATTCTCAGGGGCACTTCTGCTGGGCTGCTGCAAATACAAACCTTCGGAAACCCTGGATTTCTAAGATCACCACTATGGCAAGGCCAACTCCACACTTGAGGGAGCGCTGGGCTGGAAATGGACACTCAGTGTGCCAGGGAGAGCATAAAGACGATTCCCCAAACCCCTTCAAGACACCAGAAAAGTGCTGTCTTGGTTGATCTAACATCTTGGCCAGTAGATCAGGGTAAGCCTCATTTTTTCCTCTCCTTAGCTGTTCACCTCATCCATTCTCCAGTGAGGACAATGCTGGCAGCCACACACAGAGCCCAGGAACACTCACACACATCCAAATAGCATACCTCTGACACAGGGATGAGGCAGGGTTTGACAAAGAGCAAAATTATCTAAGACACACTGTGGCCAACTCGAGCACTCCTATAAGAACCAACAAGCTGATGTGGACAGGTCAAGCCCAAGACAACGTGCTCAGCTCCAAATCATTACAAGCATGCTGCTACTCCAGCCCCTCCCACCCTCAGCTTGCTGAAGGATATTTTCCATATGCTCTCATTTTTCAAATATAGCAATTCAAATGTAGATGAATGCCATCAGATTAATGCAAATTTTACCACTGGTAAACATTATTATTATTATTATTAATATAATCATC